TAGACGCGGTCTCCACTCAAGAACTCGTTTACCCCAAACAGTTGTCGGTTCTGCGGCTAATATGGCCAGCCAACTGCCACTTCAGGTTGCTAATCCGGTGCTCTATGTCGATAACATTGGTTGGTTAACTGTAACAAGTTAACCAACCAATGTTATCGACATAGACTCACTTGCTATAAAGATAGCGAGAATTAGAAAACTTTTCCTCCTAAGCCAACTCTTGTCTTTATAAATTCGACATCCTTGTTGCTTGTTAATGAGACGCTGCCTCACCTTGCACTAATGTTCTCATATGACTAGATTACTATATTTGTCTGGATGCTGGACATATCTATTTGTTTTCATAAGGTCATGACTATTAATGAAACACTTTCGACATTATATCTGGTTTTAAACAAGTCACCATTGAAACATTGTCTACAACGAACTTCATATCATGTAGATTTCAACTAGACTTTGTAATCGTCTTCGTTGTCGTTCCCGTATAGTTATAATTTATAATCATTTTTGGAACGAAGTTCCTTATCGCGCGTTGTGAAAGGGGGCTAGACGGAAAAAAATCGTACGAAAATTTGGAACGACACTTTTTTATTAATATAAATTGACGTCTAACTGTGGATACCATACATTAAATTTGCTTTAACGTTCGCCAACGGCCATACCATGTTGAATACACCGGTTCTCGTCCGATCACCGAAGTTAAGCAACATCGGGCGTGGTTAGTACTTGGATGGGTGACCGCCTTGGAATACCACGTGATGTTGGCTTTTTGCTCTTTATTTTCGTGTCATCTTGTCAGACATTCAGCGCCATCTATCGAATAGATAGGAAATCATTTCGCAAGGAGATTTTACCAATGTATAAATTGTTTTAATTGTTTTTAATATGTAGGTAATAGCCGCTTTCATAGATGGCGTTGTAATTAAAATCGTGTCAAATCAGTTTTACTCGATCGTCACAACTTCGTTCCTATCGGGTGTCCCACGACACCACACGGCTTTTTTTTTTATTATATTATTATATTAATCCTAAACTTTATATATGGGCTCCATCCACTAAAAGTAATCAACATATTTCCAATACGTACATATTTATATAGATCACGAACGAGAACGACTATAGATGGTTTAATATTATTACTAACTATAAATGGAAACACTGTGACATGACTTAGAACAATAGTCAGACCTTGATACAGAGTATGACAGGCATCCAGTTATAATACGATGTATGTCGTGACAACAAATAGGTATACATAAATACATATACCTAATTGGATATGTTGCATTGCATGTATTATTGCATATATTTTTTACATAGAATTAATAACAAAAATATACGTTACAAATGTTTTCAGACGATGCACAAAGATTATATTTCGGCTTATAACTGTAAATCTAGTAATTATTTATTATATATAGCTACCATCCCTTACATAATAATAATAAAATACTAGATTTACTGTTAAATAGTGTCTAACCTACGTAACCGTAGCAACCCTAACCTACGTACGCAAAATTGAATGATAAATCACAAATCACTGTGATTTTGTCCCATGTCTAAAACATACGAATAACCATCGGTTGTAACAACCGATGTTCCCATTGCGATGTTTCCATTCACCTCCTCACATGTTCCAAAACTAATAAATTAGCGAATAAATGCATTTTCCTTGTTAAGTTTCTTGCCGGGTCGGCCAGACATGAGTAAACAGATGTTGTAAACGTCTAGGGGTTATGGTAATCGATTTAACATTAGTCGAGCCACATGCTTATTAGCTACCTATATGAAATGACAGAAATGGGCAATAGGCCAATAAAATAACACGTGATTTCTCAGATATCATGCCGTAACCCCATTGGATTATTATACAACGCAAATAGTTATTTTGAAAACCGATTGAAGTGCTCTAGAGGTAAAGGCGGGTGTTATTATCAAAATATATTTAAATTTGAAAGCTGATTAGGTTAAGTGAATAAGTCTCTTTGTTAACGTATGCAGGCGCTGTGAGGTAAATTCTCTTCTTTTTTAACACAATCATCAATAAAAGGCCAAATATATCCGGCTATGTGTTTCTAGTTGTGATAGCCTATGGTAAATTTAACGCGCAGTAGGTGTAGTTGTTATTGTGTCCCTTTGAATTGAAGAGCCACTTTCATATCTTAAAGAAATTAATATTATTATTTATTTCGGGTACGCCTCTACTTCTCGAGGCACTTGGTAGCTCACCCCGATCTAGAGCATCCGTGCGCCACCGATACTGTATCACAAGGAGTACTACATCCAGATCCCAGGGTGCGGATCCGGCAAATAAGCTGGCCGCCTCGAAGGAGATCGTACGGTACTCTCTTATCACTCTGATGGCCATCACATGTTGCGGCCTTTGCAAAATCGCGATATTTGGGGCCGTCAGAGTGTTTGCCCATATTGGTGGCGAGCAACGCCGTTGGGCGAAGCTAGTCTAAAAAAGTAGCCTAAGTTACTCCCTATCTGCCAGTGAAAGTCCCGTCGAAATCGGTCCAGCCGTTCCAGAGATTACCCGGAACAAACAGACAAAAATTGTAAAAAATGTTATTTTGGCATATGTTCCGTGCAAACATACAAATGCATTTAGTAAAAAGCGGTTATTTTAATATTACAAACAGACACTCCAATTTTATTTATTTGTATAGATTCTTAAATTTCCTGACAGTTTTTTTTGTAGGGTGTCCATGAATAACTTATGTAAAAGGTATTTTTTCGTTCCGTTTCGTACACAACTCTATTTTATTTAATTTCATCTAATTATTTGGAGGTAACTGCAAATTAATATACTTTCCTACCTACCCTCAATAATATTTATTTATTCGCCACGACACAAGAGTCAGTATCTCAATACTGATAAAAAAGTTTTGTATAAGTATTGAATTATTACTTTTATATTTAATTATTTTTATCGATTCTATATGCTATCTGCTATTAGCGACCCTGGCATCGGACAATTATACAGGTCGCTACCCAACAAAGGATTAGATGTTTTGTTACGACGACTATGATTCTCAACGTAAAATTCTTATCGAATTTCTTTACATTCCTATATTTCGATAGTTGACGATTTGTTGAAAATTAAACTTAAAAAACTAGTCCTTGTGATTTCACATTTTGACATAGTCACCCTAAATAGCGAATTCATAAGGAATATCAAAAAGTAATTTATTTTTCAGTTACCAAATATAATATATACAACGTTGATCTGTACATATTTATTTAGTAGACATTTATATTTTATGTTATTATTATTTACAAAATGCGTTTCTTTACTAAATTCACTCAGTTTTACTACTTTCTTCTGATGCTACAAATTCAAACACTTGCTAATAAATGTTTTTGGAGTGGAATATAAATTTTGACCTATTACTTTCATGGCAATTCACGCTCTTAAATATGGATTGAGGAGCCACATTAGAAGTATTGTATATTTTTGATTATCAGCAATAATGGATTCAGAGTTTTAGCAGGCACTAAACACAGTTACTACTAAATGATACAAAATTTTTAAAACTTTCCGTGTTTCAGGTGGCTCCTTAATTCAAATGTTTAGATTGAGGAGCCACTTTTACATTGATGTAACTTTGGATATATCTTACTACAAATTGCAAGATTTGTCCTACAAAATTAATTGCTTACCTACTAAATAATGGAGGAGTTTTCGTTGAAAATCTCAAATGTTTCCTCAATCCATACGAACACTTGTTATTTTATGTTTTGCGAACTCGTTTACAAACAAAAGCCGTGATACCTAGGTACATTTTCTTCAAACGTGAGATGACGACCATCTAATCTTGGATCTTGGTTAACCAAAATTGGTGATCGATGAAATTGAAGGAAGTTTATTGTATTATGGTGAAAAATACGAAAAAAAGAAAAACGCCTAAACCGTTGGAAGTTTGCATGGTGACCACCATGCAAACTTCCAACGCATTGGGCGTTTTTCTTTAGGTATATGCAACTTTTATTTTTAATATGCTTTAAACTGTCTCAGTAGTAGTTATTTTGTAATGTAGTAGCATTTTTCTAAATAAAAGTACTGTAAAAATTCATTTTTGTATATGTATATATATATATAATATTAACCAAACAAATAGATGAGATGTTAACGCGTCTCAATTCCCCACCACAATACACCACACAGAAGGTCCAATTCAGATGACAATCATTGTGTCGTAACCGCGCCTGCGTGCTCTCACGCCGTTGTACTTAAGTCTAAATGGTTCAAGCCTCGGTTATCTAAATTTTGTTTGTAGGTAAATATTCACCATTGTTAGTAGTGCTCATCACAACACAATCATAGAGAAAAACTTGCACCCATCTGTTACAACTCTTTGGTGGGGCTTTATTTAAGTCACAAGCGTTATTGTGCTAGAAACATTTCATTAGAGCCTATCATAATACCGATTCTATTCATTTGACCTATTAGTTAGTGTTTGTTTTAATGAGTGTTGGATTCTTCAGAGCCTGACAAAATTTCTGATGACACCAGCAACAGCAACTTTAAAAAGTACCATTTCTTTTGTAAATATGGAACCCCCTGGGGCCGTCGGCCCATCAAGGTTTGCGGTTTGACGTTGTGACGGAATTGAACCAACTAAAACTACACGCATACATTCTTAGTTAGGAGGGATCTTAAAATAGCTTCTAATAAGACCTCCGGACCACTTCAAGCGCGTGCCTGAACCAGTTTTGGGTAGAACTCCAATTTAGGTGACGTCAAGTCACGGACGTCACCTGATTTCGGTTTAAGGGGTGGAGGTGAAACCCGTCCCGTCCATCCGCAGCCATACTTAGGGCAGCATGAGGCGGTGGAAGTCGCGCAGCGATAGTTGAGAACGTACACTAGTTTTGTATCATCAATTACAAAAATGAGAAAATTTTAGTCTTGGACAATTGATAGTGTAAGAATGTAGTGAAGTGCAATCTAGATCTATATTGAATACCTACACCTTGTCTTTTTTTGTTTTCAGATGGCACCCCCTAAATCATTTAAAAGTGCAGTCAGTTTATTATTGTTAATGATAAAACTAACAGCTCAAGTTTCTGCCAGCACGCAGTTCGCTTCACATGTAAGTGTTCACACACCAGCGCGGAGCTTTACGCATGGGGTCGGTGACCCGCTGCCATTGCTGGGTGTACGAAATTACAACCGGCAAATCACCTTGCGAAGTAAGTACACAAAAATTAAACTGCAACTTAAATTTGAGCAGTTAACCCGACAGCTTCTCACAAAACCAAGTTAAAAGTACATTATATAAATACAAACTTGATAGTGGCACCCATCTCTCCAGCGTTTGAGATAAATTACTTTAAAAAAAACTCACAAATATATAAGTTCACTTGTAGTGGTGGCCTGTGTAGCGCGTTTTTATTACAAGTCGACGGTGAGCCAACCAGGCTTGCGTATGCTAGGCGCTTTGTGAACCAATCCCTCCCACACGCCCACCACTAACTCCTGTACACCAGGATTAACAGCAGTGACCCACGAACACACTGAGTTATGACACTCGGAAAGTCCCAGGAGAACATTAAACTGACTTGGAACCCGCAACGAATTTAATCAGAAGAAAATTGAAGGAGTTGGAAATACAGTAAATCCACTGCTCTCGTTAGCAAAGCGGGAGACAAAATGAAGTAAAATAGGCATACACCCTTTTAAACAGGGAAGCACCACGGCCACAAAATATTATGGGTTCTAAGTGAGCTATATTTGATTTCTATAATATGAATGGCAGAATCGCTTAAACGCACGGAAATTAACCCCAGTTCACACAAGATCCCCATAGTATACGGCCCCAGATGTCACCTGTACGCTATTTAGCATTATATTACGTAAATTATACCAAAGACTATATTCCTAGAGAATATGATGAGCAGACTATATTCACAGTTAGAGTTAGAGTTAGGTGTTGAGCATTGACACAATGGTGACTCGACAAATTTAAATGAATACAGCTTGCTTATAAAGTTATCATGTCATGTAAGAAATTGAGCGACACAGTGATCCACCTCAAGCCATGTTCTCGACAACCGTTCACGAAAAGATGAAAAAAACTGGTAAAGGTGGCGCCCCTTAGATGATTCGTCCCAGCGTTTTTGCCATTCGTCTATGAGGCCATTATAGACATCGGACTGCTGTTGAAGCAATCTTGTAATTTTATCGCGATCTCATGCGGCCATAAAATCGCATTCCATGTTTTGTTGTCTTGAATAGTGCTGCATGGCTGCACGTCTCTGCACCTCGAGATCGACCGATCGATAGAGGCACACTTGCCAGCACCGGCAAAGCCTCAGTGCCAACCATCCTATATGCCTTGCACAAGAATATCAGTGCAAGTCATTGGGCCTTGTAACAGTTTGCGACGGACGGCGCCTACGGTTGCCCTATCGGCCCATACAGGTGCACCACAACATAGAACATAAACAAGTAGCTCTGTATATGATTTTTAGTGTATAAAATGATAGACCCCATGTTGCAGTTGATATCCTTGTCAATGCACAGAAACTCTTTTTAGACTTTTTATTAACTATTTTAATATGTTCGATAAAGCAATGGGACTTTATGTACCTAAAAGGGGTGCCCCTCCAGCAGGACCTTTTAGAAACTGAAGCCCCTTAAGAAAGATCTATTCAATCAGAGGCGATTTCTTCCATGTTTTTCATAGTTTAAGCACCGAATATTTTGGGGTTAAAATACATTAAAATGACCTCAATTGCAGTTGGAGATTTTATGGTATGATTACCATGATTACAGACCAACTCTCAAAGGAGCAACCCACTATCTGTTCACTGATTGGCTTGTTTTCTTGCGGTTGTGCCTCTCCTTAGAAAGGATGTTTTGGCTACTATACCACGCTGGTCAGACGGGTTGGTATAGGTTTTGTGTCAAATTTTCGTTTTCTTGGCAGTGCTGTTGTCCTGCGTTTATACTGTGTAGGATATTATGTTTACACTACTTTAAATTTTACTTACACTGTGTTGTTGTGTGCGTGTGTGCGATGTTGTTGTGACATGTCTGTAATGTGGTCGATATCACACACGCGGTCAATAATGACGAGAAAATATGGTCCTTGTGAGTTTAAGTATTAATTTCCGTACAACTTAGTGCCCGGCCACGTGTTGTGGTTGTGGTACGTATGAAAAAAGCAATTAAATTATTGAGATCATGATATGATTAAAAAATTCCAGTGCCAACACAAAGTCGAGGTTATCCTCGAGTTAAACCAGCCAGGCCCTTTCGTAATGAAGACCTAGCAAACAATCGCCACAACGCACTTAAAGTTTCTCCCTGGATGTATAATAATTATATGGGTATGTTATTTCTGCTTATCCCAAGTTTTTGTATTCACTTTCCTAACTAATGTCTTAAATTCCCCTATTTTAAATAATGCAATCAAATTCATTACTAATTTCTAACATGCACGAATTCTTTCAAATAACCTGTTCTTCAGCAGTTAATATTATATTTATTTTTATTATTAAAAAAATAATGTTGTCTTTGGATAATTGAATGCGCGGATGGCATAGTGGTTTTATTATACACTAAACTCCATTAGTCGTTGCTTTGTGTAGTGACGGCCTCAGGCGCGGGGTTCTCTGACACGCGACTGACGACCGACGCGTGTCCGCCGCCGGTGGCGTTCGAATGCTATGTACGGAAATACTTAGCGCTGGATCAATAGAAACGTCACCGGCGCCGGACGGTCACAGAACCCCGCGCCTTTTCCATTGCGAGGCCCAGGCTGGTAGATCATTGCAAGGCTCTTTGTGAAATTAGTTATAATAAAACTTGAAACACTACAGCCTAACACATACTACTGGCTCGAAAATAAAGCATAAGCCAACCCCAGTTGCCACTGACAGCCTGTAGATATGACAGGCGAAATGAAACATGGCAAAACACCATCATAACTACCACGCAAGAGAGTGCGAGTTTAAGTGAACATATTTTTCTACTTGGGGCACGAGTGCGCGAGGCCATTGCATGAGTGAGGCCCCGGGGCGGTTGCTTAGTTTGCCACCCCCAAAGGCCATCTCTGGCTTTTTATACCAATAGTTGGGTTCGGCCTAACACTATTTTAGATTGATATTATTCACGAAAGGAGAGAAGACAAATTGAGTTGTTTCATTTACAGATGTTGCTATACCAATCTTGCCCCCGTCACCTTACAAAGTAGATTCGCCTGATCCTGAATCTCTGTGGCCTGAAGGTCTTCTCGTGCCTTCGTTACACACTCAACGATTTGCAAGCAACCGCCGAAGTGAGGTACTGTCAGGTAAACCTTATTATAGATAAATTGCTTAATTTAAAGTACATTATTTCATTTATATAGAAAATCAACTAATTAATAGTAAATTCGTCTTAATTTCACGAACGAATTGGTCACAAATCTAATGAATGACAGGATTCCTGTGCATCAAGAGTAGCTATGCCTGTGTGGTGTAAGAAAAGGCACACAGATCACAGATCAGATTAAAAGAAAAAAGTTAGCCAACTCTGAGTCGAACCGTGGGAGTCATGCATCGGTACAAATAGGCCGACTCGAGTGACACGTGGCCTTACAGGAAACTTGTGTTAAGCAATTCTTTCGTTGCTTTTCACCGAGTGAGTGAGATTACCGGGCCGAAATCACTCCTCCCTCCTCCTCCTTCTAGCGGGAGGGACTTTTAGGGCGGCAACATACTTGTGACTCTTCAGTTGCAGGTGTCCATGGGCGGCGGTAGTTACTTAACGTCAGGTGACCTTTTTCCCCTTAGGCTATAAAAAAAGGAGAGGTTAAGAGCGACCAATGACAAGTAACCATAGTAACAGCCATGCCCGGAATGCACGTTGCGTAAGACGGAAGGATACTTTTTACTCTAGTCAAGTGCTGCTGTCATGCTCGGCAATGGCCGCATGGAGCGTCTCTATTGCAAGAAATCTAGTTCGTGGAGCCTGCAGCCGGGACAATCATCGACTCATTGAGGCTCAGCTGGCGGCTTCATGCCACTTTTTTACCTCATCCGGGTCGTTCAAGTACCCCAGCCAGTTCCTATATAGTTTAACAGCCATTCCAATCTCGTAAAAGTATTTTGTCTATAGTAGATTTATGTATGTTGGTCGTGTAATACTCATGGCTAATGGGTCACATGTAAAACTTTGAACTTGTTCAACCAGATTTTACAAAACTGTTTTTTCCTAACTTTATCGTTATCATTGTCTGTCTCTCACAGCCAATTTGTACTAAATCCACTAAATCGATTGCTTATAGTATTTTTGTACCTAAATTAATTCCAGTAATATAAATGAGAAAAAGAAGAAAGCAAGAAAGGGCCTGATTCAGAAAGCAGTTCTTCTCGATAAGGCACGTATTGTGAGTAGGTTTCTGCCTCTGGAGTCCTAACCACCGATATCTTGGTCCCTGTACTCGATACCCAGCGGACACTATTTTTCATATTTTTAAATATATGTTATTGGTACATAAATATATTTAATAATGTAATTTATATGTATTTTTAATCTCCTTTCTAAAGAGAAGTTTTTGTCCAGCAATGGACTATTATAGGCTGTTGATGTGATGATATGTATTTTTAATGGAATAAAGAGAAGAATAATAATAACTTCACATCACACACACGGCCGTCTGAACCCAAACTAGGCAGTGCCTGTATTATGGCAGACTGCTGATAAACATACTTATATATTTCTAAATACATATTATAGATGAATTACACCCAATCACAGAACAAATTATTATGCTCATCACACAATATTTGTTCTGAGTGGGAATCGAACCTCCATCGGAGTGGGAATTCTCTCGCTCGGTAACATGATTGCCGCCATGGTACGGAGTGAGAGTGCGGTGCTAGAGCTGGGCGAGCCTGGTCAAGTAGTGTCGTTCTTATCCAGCTTTTACCCACGAAAACTTATTTGGGAGCTAATTTTTTGCAATGCTAAACAATATATTTAACAATAATTTTTTTAACAACAGTGTTCTTTATATTCATTAGACCCAGGCTCATGAACCTAAGTTGGGATCGACCCCTTGGTACGCCAACGCCTTATATCAATTAATTCCTGTAACTTACGGCCATTCAATATTTCTACGATATATTTTAAGTTTGTTATTTACAATAAAATTAAAATCCCGTAATTACAGTTATTCTTAAAGTCATTCTATCAAAAACACACCATTGGTTCCAATAATTATGAAATAAAAGTTTCTTTATCTCAATTATATTTCAGACTCCGAAGATCCATATTTATTAGAGGGTTCAGAAGCAATAGCAGCAGTTGAAAAAGCATGTGTTCATGGCCTTTACTTCCATGATATTCCGCATATAAAATCGCTGTTCGCCAACCAAGCACTAAGGGTGAAGAACAATTTAAAACCACATCGGATCGCCAGTATACGTCACTCTTGGCCCTACAACCGACCTTAGCACTTTCCCGATCGACAAATAAAACATTTTATACAAAATTTAAAATATATATTTGTATACAATTGTAAAAATACTCAATAAAAGTCATTACTGTAATGGAAAATTATGTCTAATGTTTGATTTACTACTTTATTACCATGAATCAATGCCTAATAATACATTAACAATCTTCTATATATAAGTATACCTACTAACAAAAAAGAACATAAGAACAGAAAAGAAGTGGCAGAAATAATGAGTGTGGAAAAAGTACAGAAATCAGCAATGAACTAGAAAGTGTTTACCAGAATATGCAACAGTGTACCCTACTTTACAACTCACATCACAAGTCTACTAAAATTATTAGGCATCATTTGGATTTTTGTCAAAATCTATACTTAAAATACATACAACAAGTACAGTAGTCAATAAGTATGTGTACTAAATATATGGAATTACTTATTATATAGTATTACTTACGTTTGCAATTGCTATACATTTTTTAACATAGTTATGTACATAGTGAGAAATATATTAGTGTGTGCAGTACATAAAATTAAAACAAAAATTAAAATGATTTTCTAATGGACGGAATGATTATCATTAGTCATCAACACTCATTAATATTATGAGTATATTGCATAACACAATTTGAAATACCTTGGTTGCAATCTATATAACTAATATTATCTATATCTTAAGAACACTTTAGGCAGTGACATTTTATAACCAAACTATAAAATAGCAATAAATCTAAACTCTTTATGAGATTCTCATAATCAGTTGTTGTGTCTCTAATCATGCCTCTTCACTCCAAAAGGTTTGTAGCTCATCTTTTCTGTAGCTGTGCCATAATCAAATTAAACAAGTCATAAATATCATTAAAAAAAAAGTTTAATCAGTATTGAACTTTTTCTAAACAGTATTGTTACTGTTTAGTAAATTTAATTGATAAATGGTATTTAAGTACTCATATTTATAATTATAAATTAAATCTAATAGACATTTTGATTGGATATTAAAGACTCTTTATAATTGTTATTGCATTTACATTGTGTTTCTTTGAAACAACAATGAACACCTTATGAGGTTAAGAAACCCACATAAAATAATATTGATTAATGAGTATTCACTAAAATATTAAACTAAATATATATATGTATAAAAATCACAGTTCCATATTATTGTCTCATCGGTGTTCAACATTAAGATAAAACTAAATAGCATACCTAACAGAATTTTGATAATAATATTTTAAAATGAATTTACAATAACTACAAACACCTTAAAACATATTATGATGTTGTTCAATACATTTAATGTAATTCATGAGTATATTTAAATCAAATAATTGTAGACAGGACAAAGGACCGCCAAGGTTAGTAGGAGAGGGTATGATGAGACTCCACCAGCTGCATTGCAAAGGTCTCCATTACAGAAACACATATAAACCTTCTTTCGATTCCACATAGTATATGCACATCTTTCTTCATAATCACTTGGCGGTCTTTGTAAACACATCCTTTCAGTAGCAGTGCCATAATCTAAAAATTTAAAACAGAGCAATCAAACTGTTCATGGAAACCCAATTTCTAAATTACTAAATAGCACCTCCGCTCAAATAAGCTACAAGCTCTAAGCATTTAAAATTTAATTCACTTTTAGACCTATTTCTTAGCGTTCCATGGATTCACCGTGCGGGTGCCAGGTCCTTTGATGATGACAGTTTTGATGATACTTTTAGGGTTTTAGTGTAAAATATACAAAACCATTTTCAGCAAAATTAGAAGCTTCTAGGAACTAATTTGATAGCTCCAATCAAGCTTTTAACTTGTTTTTACATTATACAATTTTTTTAATAATTACATTTTTAAGATGTGATTTTATTTGAGCCAAAGTAGAGGTGGAACATTCTGGAGAAAAATTTGACCGTCAAGGTTGCAGGTCTTAAGTGCCAGTGTAAGTTCATTATCAATAAAACAAAGAATTCTTCGATATTGCATGATCCAAGCATTTACATCTATCTAGTATTTAAGGTTTAATTTATTAGACATTGAGATCTTATATTTGCTTATTACTTGTGATTAAACAATTATTTGTGAATTTGTATAATAATAAAGCTTAGCATATTTATAACATACAAACACTGTAAAATTAAAAACATTACAACACTTACCGTCCTGTCGGAATGCCCCTATCGTGCCTTCAATCAGTTTACCACACCAACCAGATGGACATGCCACAATATGAAGACCTACCTCCGCATCTGCTTCAGTAACATTTAATGGAAAGGGATCTTTACATGTACCATTATCTCCCCGGGATCGACACCTATTGCAGCGTTTATTTAAACCTGAAATTATTAATTTTAAAATTTTTGTAAAAAGGATCTAAGTAAATATGCATCACCTGTTTCTAAAATTAAATATGTTTGAAACAATATAATGCAAGTATATGATGAGTAATAATATGAATATTTAATGTTATTACAAAAACACAGAGCGTTACCAGTCACGTAACTTTATTAATTTAAACTCACAACTTTGATAACTCTCACTTCACCTTGATAAAAATAAACCCGTGTCAAAAGTAAGAAGTGAAAACTTACTTTGTACTTCCTGTAACATGACAAGAAAGGAAAATGTGCACAAAAATAAAACAGTACTATTCATTTTTGACTGGTTTGTACAGAACAATTATTAACAATAATACTTCACATTAAAATAAGCACTTAACATCAACTTTTAAAACTTTTCATTTCTGTTGTAAAGTGAAGTCAACATAGATAAGTACTGCCACCAGTGCCACTCGTTCATATCAGACAACAACCAATCATGTCACAGCAGTGTTGCCGTTAAATTATTTTATTGACTGTTTATTTTCTAAAAATTAGAAAGTCGCAACTTTATTCCACACCAATAAATAATTACTGTTAATAGAAACACGCTTTTGTAGCTAGCCGAACTAAAAAGTAGGAAATAATTTTTCTATAAGTTAAAAAAGAAAAAACATTTTATTGTAAAAAAAAGGTGGAGCGCTAGATCTCAATTGTTCTAAAAATATATTACGGACTGATATTGGTAAAATTAAAGTTATTATATTATAAAATAATAAAATATACCCTATTAATGATTTCCTACTTTTTAGTTTGGCTAGCCACAAAAGCGTGTTTCTTTAAACTTTGTTTTTTTTTAAGTCATTCATGTTTTTTTTATGGAATAGGAGGTAAACGAGCAGGTGAGTCACCTGCTGGAAAGCGACTACCGTCGCCCATGAACGCCTGCAACTTAGGAGTCACAAGTGCATTGTCAGCCTTTCTTGAAGGAAGGTCAGCTCTTTTCTTGAAGGTTTGAAGATCGTATCTGTCCGGAAATACCGCAGCCTATAACTAGTTCCACAGATTGGTAGTGCGAGGCAAAAAGTGTCTTGAAAAGCGCACAGTGGTGGAGCGTCAATTATCCAAGTGGTGGAGGTGAAAATTTTGGCGAACGATGGCGGAAGGTTGCGGCCGGTATTAGTTCAAACAATTCCTCGGAGCACTCTCCATGATGTATAAGATAGAGAATGCAGAGCGAAGCTACACCTCTACGTAACGCCAAGGGATCGAGCCGGTCGCAAAGCTTTTGATTATCGACCATTCGAATCGCTCTTCTTTGGATACAGTCAAGAGGGAGAAGCTACGTACGTAAGTACCGAGGTGCCCCTGCATATACATGAGAACAGTATTACATATGCAGTCGGACTTGCGCCTTATAGAGTTGGAGGCGAGGGCTGGAGTGAAATACTGCCTCGATCTGTTCAGCACACAGAGCTCCTTCGAGCCCAATTTGACCTTATCCTCTAAATGACCACGAAACTGGACTTCTCTCGATATCTCGATGCCTAGGATTGCAATACTGGCTGAGGCAGTTAGGGAGGTGCTCTCGAACCGAGGCGATACGACAAACGGTATCTTTACAGCGGTAAACGAGTTAACCTGTGTCTTTTTTGGGTTAAAATAGACCAGATTCAGTCGACCCCAAGCTGAAACCTCCGCTTAGGAAGTTTCAACTTCAGACACAAGTTCGTTTCGACTCTCGATGAAGTTTTCCGAGAAATATTGGGACCGGAATAAAAGGCATCACCCTTGCTATCATCTGCATAGCAATGGATGCCACTAGTTCGTAACACATCAGTGATTTGCAGCAGAAACAGTGTGGGTGATAGCACACAGTCTTGTGGGACACCAGCATTTACTGACTTCAAGTCGGAGCATGCACCGTCGATAACGACCTTAATGCTTTTGCCTGTAAGGAAACTGGTGACCCCGTTACATATTTACTAGGAAAATAATAATTATTATCCTTTAAGACTGAAAAAGTAACAAGTAAGTTTATGACATATGCTTCATCACACGCCTTAGTTCGTGGCAAAAGACACTACCGTATTTTTAGGTATGTAAAAAGCCAATAATCCTGAAGGTTCTGATCAGGATAATGCAATGGGACAATCTATTTAAATTTATGCATTGTCATCAGTCCTTGATAAGTGTGCAAAGTTTCTATTTAATTCGGGGTTTTGAAGTAGGTCAAAATTACGTTCGAAGATTCCGTTACACACATACATTTATACATACAAACCAAGCTAATTAAAGCATGTTAAAAATACGGTTTTGGTTGGTAAAAGGTTAAATCCATTAAATAATTAACGTGATATTGAGGATACTCAAAAGAACCTATATAACCTATTGCAAGTCAGGGTAAAACGAAGTAGGTATTGATAGAGGATATTTATACCTAATGAAAATCACGAGTTGTTTCGCAGCTTATAAAAAGATATATAGATATATTCATTGTGTGTCAAAAAAAACTAGGCGAAAATTTTAATAGGTAATTTTTTCCAAATAATAAAATGTTTTTACTGTAGCTGGGACCCGACTGATCCGAGGTATTAACCTAGATTCCTTTGAAGAGTGGATTCACAAGACATAGTGACACATAGCCACACAAGAGAATATGAAAGTCATCACACTTCCAATCCACTCTCCGAGGTTTTAACCTGGATTGCTAGGTGCAATCCAGGTAAATCTTAGGATCCCAGCTACAGTGAATAGGAATGGTGAATAGTACCTATATTTAGAAAATAAGTGGACCTGTTGAAACTACTAACTAAGTTTTAAATATCTCCTAAATATAAGCATTCCTCAATAATAGGGTAACCCTCAATTCACATAAATTTGCACCTACCTGTTGGCGTCTAATTATTTCCTCGTTAGATTTAAATTAAGAGCTTATTTCTATACTGTTCAATGAACTACTATAAGGCTATTTTTTGTAAAGATTTAATGGGTCAGCAAAGGAAGCTCTACGATGCCAAGCAACACATACTCCAGCGCAGTAACACGTCATAGTCAAAGACAATACAAAACCCAAATAAATTGAATATCGTATAAATTCTGCAATAAAAACATAACGTAGGGATATGTAATAAACAAAATGTGTATATTTGTATCTATTAATATAAATGAGTAGGTAAACAAACCGCCCGAAAAAATAGAAATCAAAACATTACCACAATTTGCACGTCTAATATATTTACCTAACTTACTCGATGAAAAGCGAAGAACTGCTTAACAGTGCCGGTGCGGTTTTCTTAGATGCTGTGGTATCACCCCGGTCAAGCCTGGCCGATATGTGCTGAAGCATGGCTCTCTCACGATAAAGTTAGAAAGTAAGAAGTGTTTAGGCCGAATCCAGGCAAATTAATAATACTCCAAATTAAGAAAATATTATATGAAATTGTTATTTCAGCAAAAGCCAGCAAAAGTTCAGTCTCAATCTATTCAAAGTTTTTAACTCAGTCATTACCACAGAGTTTAAGTACTCGGTACATACTTAAGATATGTCCTTTCATTATTTCAATAATTTTGAGGTCTCAACGTTTAGTAGATGTTATCTACTAAATGTTCATGTTAGAATCTGATTCAGAGTGAGCTACACCCTTGCATAGGTAAACATTTATTTTGGTAGTAAAATTGCAATCATCAATCATCATCAACAGCCTATAATAGTCCACAGCTGGACATAGGCCTCTCCTTAGAAAGGAGGTTTTGAAAATTTGTTTGAAAATTGCAATAATCACCTTGATTTAAAAGTTTAGATTTAGACACAACCTTTACTTCAAATTGTTTTACTTTTTTTCCATTTATCGAACATGTATAATTGCCTTCTTCATTTTTACTAATGTGCAAAATATGTAAGGAGTTAGAGGCATCAATTGATATGTGAGGTTCGTCCTCTCTCCTATTAAAAATATTTCTGACGAACAAGATAAAAGATTAATATGAAAAAATTGAACGAATTACGAAGTATAAGTAGTCATTTACTATGTAAGATATTTACCCATATAAGGATTTCAACATTTTTTTATCCTTGAACCATTTTAAGTCGGAATTAGGGTTAACTTCATTGCACATAAGTGTTACATGGCTATCTTCCATAACTTGCTGTGTTGTTTTGTGCTTACTGTTACCATTACCCGTCTTGTTCTCTAAAACCAGTATAATTATTACATCATTAATGACTTCATCACATTAGCAAATCGGATAATCAGTGGTGTATAATCAGCCTTATTTATAAAACTAGTAAAAACACAAGATGGAAATAGTAGTGTATTAAGTATATTAAACTTAAAAAACACAAGAAAAATTAAAAACTTATGAATTAAGAAAAAATGCATAATTAAAGTAACCTAAATAAATAAAACGAGAGCTTAAAGAGAAAAACGGCCTATGTGATGTGTTCCTAATATGAATTATGCACATGTATAATCATGTATCGTGTACCTGTTTTTCTTGGCATGGAACATATTTCCTCAGCTTCAAATTCCGGTATGTTTCTAACAATTCTGCTTATTTCAGGTAGTGCTTCATTAAGCTTTATGGAACGACAGGGGACATCATATGCATCGGCTAAATACGAATTAACAATGTTGTTAGGAATAGCTTTATGTGTACTCTGGAATAAAAATTAATACATTGGTGTCTTTGGTGAAGATTCCAAACAATAAAGGTCATCCAAAGGTCAATAAAGTCCTCATTTCTTATCCTCTTAATTAAACTATAGAAAGCCTTGTTATGCCCCTTAAATGACACTTAAGCTGATTTGCATTTAAATCTTTTTTATAATTGACATGGAAAGAATAAGTTAAAATGCACATTTTTGACAGAGGACGAGTTAAATATTGTTTAGTTTATAACAAATCGGTATACAAATTACCTATACTGATTAAACATTATAATCATATTAAGTAGATAGTAGGTTATACATTATACTCGTATAACAATCTACATGTAACAAGTTACTTTCTGCAACTTGATAGTTGCTGAGAGTGTGAAGTCCTTAAGGTTCCGCGTCGAGCCCTGTATTCTACTTAGAATTTAATAATTTTCTCATACTTTTTTTTACAATTAGAATGCAGGGACTCTCACCGTAATCAACCTATAAATATGTATATTATAATATTTTATCGACTTTGTTTACATTTTTTGTATTTATATACATACTTGTCACTACGACAGTTATTAAACCTCCCACATTCACAATCCCTATCCTACCTACCTATGGCCTAGGTACTACCAGTATATCACGCTGGCCAGACCGATTGGTATAGAGGGTTTATGTCAAGTTTTCCTTCTCTTTGCAGTGCTGTTGTCCTGCGTAGTTTGCTCCTTTAGTCGGCTCTTATGAGACCCACGGGATGAATAGGAGTGGTGACACTCTGTATTCTTAATCCGACACCGGATTACAAATCTTACCTTTATGGTATTATTTACAGGACATATACGACATTTTCCAAGTCTTTTGCGTTTACCCTTTAGATGGACATCGATAGCTTGACATTCACTCCAATTATCCCAAACTGTATATACTTTTACAATGGTGTTATATTGTTTTCTAAATGACTTAAACGGTTCCTCTTGAGATACTTTAAATTTCTTGTTTACGGGATCTATATACATACGCTTGTATTCTTGCCATTGAGTATATGTTCCAACTTTTGGGCTCACTTCGACATATAAAACGCCTTAAAAGTAAAAGTATTATCATAAATCATTAATTATTTGAAATCTTTCATTTGACTTTTATTCACCATTGCCATTTATATTACGATTATGCTAACCTTCAAGTACATAGGTAAATTTACTTTTATGACCATTGTCATATCTTTTGCATGTATAAACGCCCGAGTAATTGGGCCTAAAATAATTTAAACTCAATATATGGGATAATGTGATGGACATATTTTTATCTACAACATCATCACGAGTTTCAATTTCTTGCATTGTTTGTTTCATCATTCCTCTTGGCCTATAAAACCACAATTTTGGATTATAGTCTTCTTTTGTATTGCTGAAAAGAGTAACAGACAAATCAGATGCAATCGATGAAATGTACGTCGGGGTTAAGCCAACTAAACCTGCACATCGTGTAATTCTGGGTATAACACAAATAAGTAGATAGAATACAGAAATGGTCCCATGGCATGGCGGCAACGCTAGCACGCGACGTGTGTAGAGGTAAGGCCCGGGGTTCTCTGACCGTCGGTTGCGTGAGACCGACGACCGAAGCGTGTCAGCCGTTGGTGGCGTAAAGTGGGTTCTCTGGACCCGGCTTCTTAGCGTTTGGTAGTCGTGATTGTGAATGGCGCTGCTTGAACAATCGTGTTTGTACTCGGAGCGAAATGAACGAAAATCTATTAACATTGTTAAGAGAAGAAGGGGAAGACGAACTTATGATGGTATCAAAGAAAAGAAAAAAAAACTAATTCAATATTCATAAAATCACCGACCCACATAAATTGTTGTATGATGCATCAAACAAGATAGTATTATATAGTATAAAAATAATTAACCATTTACTTTCCTTTATTGCCCGTCGCTATGATACAAATATGATACCGACCGACGCGTACGACGTGCGACCTTGTCCGCTCGCACTGTCCGCCGCGCACGACGTTTCTAAGAACCCACTTAAATCACAAGTATGGAAATCCTCTACAATAATTGAGCAACATAAAGGTAAATCATACAATCTTACCAATAGTGACACCATAACTGTACACTCGACCCTTCAATAACGTCAATCACATTTGTATCGTTAGTACTATTAGCGGATTTTGAAGATTTACCATAGCACACTGTTAATTCAAAGGGCTTCCATTGACGCGAAAATACGCTTTTGCACGTGAGACTAATAAAGTTGATAAGAAAAAAACTCAAATTCTTCCTAAAATCATAAAATATTAGTTAAAATAAAAATAATGATGACGTATCTTAGCTCCGTGCTTATTTTTTTTTTTTTATAATTTTGAAAGAAAATACCAATATACTCTAGGAATATATCCTATGTCGCATTCATGTAACGGACACAAAGAACAACCAGACTCAGAACAACAATTTATGGATCACACAAAATGTTGTCCTATGTGAGGATCGAACACTCAGAGTAGTAGGAAGTGGCGAGGTGACCGCTTAAACCACTACGCCATCCGTGCAGTCCAGTACCAGTACCTTATACCAGTACCTTATACTCGTATAAATATAAAAATACAAAAACGTGCCTTATGCTCATTCAATTATACTCACATCTAACCGTTGAACTTGTACCATTCTAAATTAAATTGAAATAAAAATATGTCCAGAAAAATATGTAAAAACTAGATTTTGCCCACGGCTTCGCTTGCGTAAATGACAATTTCTGTCAATAAAGATCGGGATAAATAGTAGCCCTTGTGCTATTCTAGAATATAATCTATGTGTGAGTAAAATCTCATCCAGAACTGGAAAACCGTTTTGGCGGTTTAAAAAAATATGTGTCTAATTATTTTTAGAGTTCCGTCTACATTATACTAATCCGTGTTCCGTACCTAAAACGGTAGAATACAGAACCCTTATAGGATCACTTTGTTGACCGTTTGTCTGTCTGTCTGTCAAGACCCTTTATCTCGGGAACGCGAGGATGTATCGGGTTGAAATTAAAGCCTATGGTCCTCGCTCCTAAGTTAATGTAAAAAAAAGTAAAAAGCAATAAGTCGTCATTCTCAAGGGAATCAAAATACTTCCCGTTGACTTATTACTCTGAAATTTGCCAAGTAACATAGTTTTATACTACAAGTAAAGGGAACAATCGGCAAGCTATACATTTGTATACAAATCTTAAAAAAATAAAGTCTTTATTTAAAGTACGTAATCAATCATCGAGGTACAATTTCTCTTATAAAACTCAAGAATATAAGTAATTATAAGTTTTGGAAACTTAATTTCGCACAAAGCTCGGCAAAAACTGCGAGATTCGATTCCTGAACTACTTATAATATGTACTCTACAAATGTGTTTGGAACACTCGGTGGGTGAGTCCGACTTGCACTTATCCGGTTTTTTTTTTATTAAGAATAATTGCTAAGAGTTTGGAATTAATATGTTAAAAAAATATAGTTTCCCATACAAACTTGCATCCCTTTTTAAGGATAGTTTTGAAAAATTAGTTACAACGTTTTTATTACTTTGAATAAATTTATTTCTTGTTAATAAAAAAATTTCTTCAATCGCGCACTAAAAAGAAACCGAATTTAAAATTTGAACTTTCGCGGGTAAATTGATAAAGACGTTTGCAAAGTTACACATTCATCATGACGTCATGTCGGCATTAAAAGCAAAAATTGTTGCTATTTCAATATTTTGCTAAGTTTAAAATTAATTACCATACTAATGATCGGCGATGGAGATAATTCTATCGCCAATCACAGATCAGCCAGCCATCGATGTTGGCTGTTCTGTCATATGCATAGAGATATAACCTTAGAGAGAACACGGGGTAAGCTGCCTGTAAGTGGAAGCAATACAAGCAATGAGAGAGATGGTTCCCCTTTATTGGTTGCTCTTTGTCTCTGTTTAGCTAAGTTTCAGGTTGAATACGAACAAAACTTTTGTTGCTAATGCCCAACAAAAAATAAAATGACAAGTTTGACAATTTTACATACCGATGACAGTTCTGTTTGTTAATATGCACTTGTTGATAGTTTCTTTTCTTATCATTTTTTATGTTTACTTTGAATGTGCTATAAAGAATTGTGAAATTTCTACAAATATAAAGAGAAATTGATAGACTACGTCATGTTCAGGCGAAAAGCGTTACCTAATACTGATTTATCTTGTGAATAAAATAATAAATATCTTTGAATGAAGTATTGAAATAAGTAAGTAGTAAATAAGTAATAACTAAGTATTGAAAAATATATTAAGTATTGCCATCCTCCAATAAAAATATCTACTAACATAAAATAACCTTAAGTATTTGTCTCAAATGCAGGCTTTAAAACTCGGAATAAAAATCCAACGTCCGTACAAAAAGTTCACATCCTATAAAACTACAAAGTTAAGTTTTTACAAATTGATCGCGGCTAGCTTGATCTTTATTCTGCAAACATTTGAAAAATAGATTAAAAGTAAGACTTTAAAATGCTTTTCTTATTGGCATCTTGTTTCTTATTGCCTAAAGTTTGATTAAGTTCCTTTAAAATCTGGTAAACTACATTACACCGTTGAGGTTTTAGGTAAGTAAGTAAGTAGTTCTTACGTGAAACTAGAATAAGAAATGATAAAAAAGTGGAATCTAAGTAAATAAATTGATTGCGGATCAAATTAGGATTATAAGCAGAAGTTTATGTTTGTCTCTTAAGCGACAAAATATGTGCCTATGATTAGCGTTTATCTTATTTATTTAAGATAGAAGATATCAGTTAATATTGTTTAGTTTGATACCAGGAGAACAGGCCCAAGCGAAAGTTGACTCAAGCAAAACTACTGATGAGAGGTTACATTGGTAGATACAACAAATTTTTAAGGTACATGTGGCTATTCGATTAATGGTGGTGGTGGTGGTGGATGAATGATGTAGAAATGGGCTTCGCAATAATGTCTTTCGAAAATGAGTACGAAACCCTTTGGTGATACAGAAAGTTTCATCGTCAACAGGCTTTAATAGTCCACTGCTGGACATCTCTCCTTAGAAAGAAGGTTTTGGCCTGCTATAACACGCTTGCCAGACGGGTCGGTAAAGTGTTTGTTTCAAAGAGAAAAATTCACTTATAGAATCCGGGGGATGTTTGAAATAGTGTTCATAGAAAACATAGTTGCACTTAAGAAAATACTAGTCGTAGTTGAGTAAATATAATATTTACAAACAAATGCAGGACTTTCTAAGATAATTAAACAATCAATTAACGCAAAATTATAATGACTACATTCGGGTCATCATGCGTGACCTATAGAGACTTAGCACGTACAACGAGAATGCGTCTGCACATATTGCAATCAAGTAGCTTAATTTTTGTTATTCACAATCCCCACGGGTTACAATTTGAATAAATAATATTTTTATGATTGATCGCTTTTTTTTCTCCTGATTCTAAGAATTCACAGACAACGACCGTGTCTTCAAAATCTATATCGCCAAATGACACTTAAAAAGTTTTGTCACTGTCACTCTCCGTGCGCGCACTCCACTTTGGAGACGTGACGTGACAATACTTTTCTGGTGACAAAAGTCACCTGTGCGCGCTTGCCCTTAGAGAAAGGATAAGAATTTTACAGCTTGATGTCAAATACATGAAACCACACTTCTGCTACAAATCTATAATTTAGTCAGGTCACTGCCTTGTACCTGTTAGTTTAGTGAGGAACTCTTATACGACTCAATAAACTACTATAAACTAGTCATGAAAATTTCCAAAAATATGAACTATGGCACTGGGTACAGTAATATTACTAAAGATATTACGTTAGTTCATTTTTATAGACTTATATGGGTCCCTTACTTCCTAATTTGTTTTACCATCTTTAGTGAGAAAAGCAATGTGACCCTTAAAAAGTTTTATTTTTCACCCGGTTTTCATCAATAAGGTATTTAAGTGGTAGACCAAGAAATAATGAAACTAAATAATTACACACAGTTTTTCACAAAAAAAGGACTTTGAACATGTATCAGTGTAGAAAGTCACTTTTAACACAGTTCCTCTGTATTTCAGCCTCTGTTGATATCCGAACGCATTTGTTCTTGGCGCTCTCACTCATCTTCAAAATAGATCAAAATCAAATCAATTTACAGCAACATGGCGGATAAATCAGAAAGTAAGTTTTGTTTATATTGTCAATATTGAATAAAATAGAGCCTATAAATATTTTTTACTATATAGAAATAAATACTTTATATTTATTTACATACCTGTATCTCATTGAACGGATTTTTGTTGTTCTTCTCAATAGATACGATTGAAAATGTGGTTCGCTAGATTCAAAATTTGAAAAAATTCAAATTTTCGGCCGAAATGTCATCCAGTTTATTGTCGAATTTGAAATTAAAACAAAGTTGTTTGCTTTGGTTCTGATATTTAGATTTGTTTTCTGTTAAATTCTAATATTAGACCTTAATAACTTTCCTGCTTCACGAGTTATATAAATAATAGCTTTTATTTTCGTGCAGGAGACCGAGATGGACAAGATTATCTACCCAGATCACAATATCGTGTCAAAGAAGAACCAATGGAAATGGATTTTCCGGAAGAGGAAGAAGAACCACCAGCATTTGGTCCCGCAGCACTTGGCCTTCACAGAGTTGGTACTAAGTTACCGCCAAAACCTGCACCAAGTGAACCTGTTCAGAAACTTAATGCGCGAGGTATGCCAGCTCGAATTAGGAAGAAAAACAGATTTATATTTGTTGACGATTTTGTCAATACTTCACCTCCACGTCAATCACCGAAGCGAAATGCTAAGATTATAGTTAAAACTCCTAACAAGCAGTCAAGTGCTAAGAAACAAAAATCTCCTTTGAAAGTTCAGAGAACGAATGAAAAATATGATGAGAAATCTGAACCTATTGGTGCTCAATCACCAGATATTAAATCTGGTCATAGGATAGGCATGAGATTAAGAAATTTATTGAAGTTACCAAAAGCTCATAAATGGGTATGTTTTGAATATTTCTATAGTAATATAGATAAAGTGCTTTTTGATGGAGAGAATGATTTTATAATTTGTTTGAGAGAATCATTTCCTCAACTTAGTAATCGCAAGCTGACACAAGTGCAATGGTCTAAAATTAGAAGAATGATGGGTAAACCTAGAAGATGTTCTCAAGCATTCTTTGACGAAGAGAGAAGGGAACTTGAGAGAAAGCGCAAATTAATCAGATTTATACAGCAAAGAAAAGCTGCTGATATTAGCGTCAAAGATCTGCCAAATGAAATACCCATGCAATTAGTAGTAGGTACCAAAGTGACAGCTCGCTTACGTAAACCTCAAGATGGCTTGTTCACAGGGTGTATTGATGCTGTCGATACATCTAATAATACTTACAGAATAACATTCGAGCGCCCTAAATTGGGCACACATTCAGTTCCAGATTATGAAGTTTTGTCAAATGAGCCTCCAGATACTATAAGTCTGTCTAGTATTACCAAAAAGTTCAGACCCAAGTATGTCCTTCAAGATATATTTAGCCTATATGAGCCTACAAACAATAATGCTTCAGGTGACCCTCTAATTGGTTGTTCAGATATTGCTAAACATATGGATGCTATTGGCAGTTATCCATTTGCATTGTTAGAAATTATTGTTAAGTTAAGACGAATATTAAATGCTAAAAGGGATAAAATTAACTTGCTAAAAGAATATAATTGTGATGCAGAGAAAAGGAAATCATTTGGTCAAAAGATGCCAGAGGACTTCGAGAGAAAATATGCCGCTGTTGTAATTGATTTAGAAAGAATGAACATTGATTTGCAGGATTATATAAATGAAGTGCAACAGTTCTGTCAGCAGATTGCACCAGAACCAAGTTTAGCAGCCATGTTGGTGCCGTCACATTTAAGAGAAATATGCCGTGAAAAAGCATCTTTATTAGTGGAGAAAAATAATGGGCCTGTAAAAGATCCACATTTAATTGATTTAATAACAGATCTTGTTGCACTTATGTTACAGGTTAAAAGCTTATCTGATTCAGATCAAAATGCCTATGAGTTAACTGTTTTGCAAGGCACGATGGAACAAATAAAAATGAAATTAGAACCACAACATCAGAAGCTATTTCAAAATAACATAGAAATACATATGCATAGAATTCAAATGGGTTTAGGTCAAATGACACCTAGTAGCTATGTAGCTGGTACATAGTGTTACTTATTGTGTTTAAATTATTACATATGGTGCATATTATTTTATAGATAAAATTGGACTATTGTGGAAAAAGTGTAAAAATATTACAATATTGTATAAGAAAATAAGCGAATGTAATTTATTATAAATTGGTTAGGTACACGGGCTTGCAATATTGCTCAGTGCCATGCATAAATACATCTTATATTTAATTATTATGTATCAAATTTAGGAATAAAGATTTGGTAAGTGTAATCATTTATTTTATTGACTACTTAACATTGTATTGTTTTTAAAGCATGATAAAAAATCTAATTGCCAGAAATTTAAATACCCACTTGAATATATTTAGAGCCCTGATGCAAAATAGTTCGTCTAGTGTGAAATTTTCTCTGAGACTTTTTCTAACTTTATTATTTTTGTATATCTACATAAAATATTAAGCTGTTCTACTATCATATGTCGCGTTACTTATGCCATTTTTTAATTTTGAACCAATTAACTATTTTAGCTTTTTAAATTTATACATATCCTGTTTTAAATTCGAAGAAGTTATACGCAAAATAGTTCATCTAATTGTTAATTGATGCAAAAGAGTTCGTCTATCGGTGAGTTCAATAAGATTATTTCTTCTTTATACAATTATGTTGCATAATTTAAATTTGTAAAAGTAATTCTGTGTCATTTGTCAAGTGAGACAGTATAAATTCTGAAAATTTCAGTCTTTTTCATTAGTTTTCAAATAACAATGGGTTGTGGCAAACCCGTGTGTGAAGAGCTTCGAAAGCCAATAGTTTGTGGGGTTGATGCTGGCAAATCAAGTTACAAAATATCTAAAGACTTGATAGTTCCCAGGTCTACAGTCCAATCTATCATTCAGCACTATTAAAAGAATAGAATGACTTCTTGTTTGAAGAAAACTGGTCGACCACGCATTACAAGTGCAGTAGAAAACAGAATCCTAAAGAAAATTATCAAAAATAATCGTCGTGCTCGAGCAGGAGAACTCACGGTGCAATGGAAGGACATGATTCACAAAGACGTCTCAGTTGATACTTGCAAAAGATTCCTAAAAAGAATGGGTTACGGATTTTACACCGCTAAGGAGAAACCACTGTTGACTGCTGTACAAAAGAAAGAGGTTGAAGTTTGCTCGTGATCATTTAAATTGGACTTCCGACCAGTGGCGTAGTGTCATTTGGAGTGACGAGTCCAAATTTGAAGTGACAGTCGGCGATGAATGGAAAAAAGTGATTCGTAACAAAAATGAGGCATTTCATACTGATTGTCTCAAACGCAAAGTGAAGTTTCCGGCGTCTCTTATGATATGGGGGGGCTGCATGTCTGCACAAGGTGTTGGTGGATGGTTCTATCAATGCTGCAAGGTATCAAAACCTTTTGGAAGAGAATTTACTGCCCTCTATTCCGTCACTTAAGCATCAAGATTCCTTCATTTTTCAACAGGATGGTGCATCCTGCCATACTGCAAGGTCAACGAAGACGTGGCTACTTGCGAAAAGCATCCCTACAGTCGAATGGCCATCTAACAGCCCGGACTTGTCGCCGATCGAAACCCTATGGTGGAAAATAAAAAAGTTCTCCGTAAAAATCCATCAAGATCGAGGAGCGACTTAAAGGCTAAACTCTTGGCTGTTTGGGAGTCAATTACGCCTGAGGAGTGTGCAGCGTTGGTTGCAACCATGCCTCTTATTAAATCTGTCATTGAGAGCAAAGGTGACACAACTACGAGGGGTGATCAATAAGTAATGATAATCAATATGAAACAGAACTATTAGATTAAAAAAAGTATTTTATTTTTCAACATATTCTCCTTGCAAGTTAATACATTTAGTGTATCTTTTTTCTAAGCCCATGATTCCCTTAGAAAAAAATTCTTTGTCTTGACCCTCCCAAAATGCCTCTACTGCGGCCATCACTTCACTATTGTCCTCAAATTTGTTGCCCCGGAGGTGTTCTTTGAGCCGAGGAAAGAGGTAGAAGTCACTGGAAGCTAGATCTGGCGAATAGGGAGGGTGTTCGAGCAGTTCGAACCCCGTTTCTTCAATGGCAGCCATCGCAACTGCAGCTTTGTGAGCCGGGGCGTTGTCTTGGTGAAACAGCACTCCAGCGCGCAGTTTACCGCGTCTTTTTGACTTAATAGCTTCTCGCAATCTTCTTATTTGGCCTGCGTAGTAAGAGCCTGTTATAGTGGCCCCCTTTTCCAAATATTCCACCATAATAATTCCTTCTGCATCCCAGAAAACAGACGCCATAACCTTTCCCGCTGAACTTGACACTTTGAATTTCTTCGGCGTTGGTGAGGAAGCTCGTTTCCAAGTCATTGATTGTTGTTTGGTTTCGGGATCAAAGTGGTGGATCCAGGTCTCGTCCATGGTCACAAAACGCGACAAAAAAAATTCTTTATCGGCCTGGAACTTTTGAAGATTCACCCTCGAAATGTCGACTCGTTTCTTTTTTTGCTCGTCGGTTAACATTCTCGGTACCCAACGCGCAGAGACTTTTTTCATATGCATTTTGTTGACAATGATTTTTTGAACGCTGCCATAGGAGATCCCTGTGACCTCAGCTACATGCCTTACGGTCACCCTTCGATCGGCCAACACGATATCTTCCACTTTTTTGACGTTTTCTCCAGTAAGGGACGTGGAAGGGCGTCCCTCGCGATGTTCATCTTCAGTGGAGGTTCTGCCCAGCTTAAATTCCTTTGCCCAGCGTGCGACTGTGGAATATGGAGGAGCAGACTCCCCCAATGTTTCCTCTAAGACGCTGTGTATGTCTTTGGTAGACATTTTTTTCAGGCAGAGGTACTTGATGACAGCTCTTATTTCATTTTTCTCCATTTTGATGTTTTCTCTTCGACAGTTCGTATTCAAATGAATGTATCTCCCGGTAATGGTGTCCTATTTATACATTTTTTTGAAGCTGAAGTAGTGGATATATAAGCAAGCAGAAAAAAAATAATTTGGGTTTTTGTGCGTTCTAGAAATACTCGATTATCATTACTTATTGATCACCCCTCGTAAGTGGCAGACGAATTATTTCGCGTGAGTGCCAAGGGTAGACGAATACTTTTGCGTTATGTTTTTTAGAATATTTTTTTAATTTTTTATGTTATGTAGTCATGAAAGAATTTCAGTTATGTTAAAATAAACTTTAAAAATTTCCTCAAATTGTGGTTTACTTTTTATTAAACGTTCTTAATTATTTTACCAATATTTACTTTCTATATTTTACGCTTTGCACTACTTTCCATACTAGACGAACTATTTTGCATCGGGGCTCGTATTGAAAGCAATGGCACGTCAAATGCGTCGGAGAGGCAACCGGATGACAAGTGGTATTGGCCGAATTGAGCCCAAGCAAACTGGGACGGTTAACTTCCACTGTACCACCAGGGCTACACAGGAAAATAAGTGGGTGATAAGGGGCTGGGGCAAAAATAATATTTTAATGTAGCTAACTGGTTAAAAACGCGGTTGCTTGAAAGTTGCCCTTAATTATATAATTTTTTTTTTGATCAGAGTATTAGAATATAATGTAGTTTAGGTAAGTCAGGGCAGTAATCTTGGGCCATTATTATTTATAATAATGATAAATTTACTGAAAAAAGTATTTCAAGACGCTAAGTGCTTACTGTTTGCTGATCGAGCTGTCTTTTACTGTAAAAAGCGTAGATTACTGTACAAGGTTGCAAAGGGACATAGGGTAGTGGATTGGAGTAGAGATAACCTTCTACAATTCGCGTACAAGTGCCTGAAAATTAGTGTCTCTCGCGCCTGTGTTACATAATTATAATATAGACGGAACGCCGCTCATACGGGTCACAGTTAGAGACCTAGGGTAAATTTTACCGCTGCGCTAACTCTTCGCAATCACATCACCAATATAATAATGCTCTGGTCAGAAGTCAGCTAGCATATAACGAAGTTATCTAGGCTCCTCATGAATCTAAATATAGGCTCATGGTGGAGCGGGTACATAACACATTTTTAAGATATTTGTATATGCATCAGTATGGTGTATACCCATTAATGTACCCAACTTTATTTATGTTGGGAATAATAGGATACCACAATCTAAGTGCTAGAAGGGAACTCGGAACTCACCACATAAAGTAATTAAGAGGAAAGTTCATAATGCTGATATATTAGGGGAGGTGTACTTTCGTGTGGCGACGGCGACAACCGCGGTTGCTGGCGGAGCATCGCGCCAGTACCAATCTCTTAAGTCAGGCGCCACTGATGCGTGCACTTCACACTTCAAACCTTATAGCCAGCCAGATGGACATATTCTTTTGTGCTCTGAGTGAATTCACAAGAGTAGCATTGAATGTTATTTGTTACAATATGAAATGTAATACGACAGGCTTGTCGGTCTGGTGGGTCGGGGGTTCCAGAGGCGTAGCGTGGACTAATATAGACGTGGGCGAAAATTGCATCAGCGAGGCTCCTTTTCTTTCGTTCCCAAGACAGGTGCCCAATACATCTATTTCGCCTACCTATTTATGATAGTGAAAAAAAAACGTGATGGCAGAATATTAGAAAGCTTATAGATTTGAATAAAGGTTTTATTTTCTTACCAAAGTAATTTCTTCGGCTTTTTGCTTTACTGAAGTCCTCAGGTAAAGACTTCTAATTAATTTGTTCTGTGTTGAAAGTATCGCTGAAGCACGCAGTCGGACCTGTTTGATACTGTCTCTTAAGTAGTTTTCATTAATTTTTAACTTAGAAATACTTATTTCTGCGGTAGCTTACAGGTATGTCCGATACGTCTCTAGATTTTATCTATGTCTTTGCTTTCATCATCTTGAAGTACCACACCTAAATCATTACGATGCTTAAAAAGCTCGTTATTTATCAAAGATTTTTAACCATTTATGCCGTACAAGAATCCAAAATTGTTGTAATATTCGGTTAATGCAGTAAATCTTGTGTTAAGTAAATAAAAAACTATTACGGTTGAAGAAAGTGGTTGTCTGTCGGTGGCGGCGAGAGTAATGTTAGCCGTCTTGACATAGAAAACGCTTTGAACCTCGTCCCGTGGTGGGTGATTAGAGAGGCATTGGTGTATCGCCAGTTGTTTCCCTACCTGCGGGACATCTATGGGGCTTATTTTCATGGCAAGTCCATATCATATATTGATCGAGACAACGAAGAATGTTGAAGGGAGGTTACAAGTAGGATTCCCCAGGCGTTCGTCCTCGGACCTCTTCTGTGGAACCGCGCACATAATGCAGTGCCGAGAATTAGTCTTCCCCTAGAAGTAAGTATCGTCTGTTACGCGAAGGACTCACAGCTGGCAGAGGGGTAGCTTGTGTCGTCCAAAAGATCAGGAGTCTGGACCTACGGTTAGCATGCCATAAAACGGAATCCTTGTAGTTTTACAGGATACTCGGAGGTGCCTCTTACCCGCTCGCTCAATAGCGTGGGGTAAAAATAGGTCGAGGTCAAAAGGCATATCAAGTACATCGGCCTAATCCTGGTCTATCGCTGGAACTTCGAGGAGCATTTCTCGGGGTGGCGGACTCCCCACAGAGGCTGCTGTCTAATCTAGGGGATCTGCGCCGGATCCGATGGGATAGCGCTTATCGAACTCCTCCTGGCGAAATCAGCTCAAACAAGCGCAGCGGATCGTACGAGGATACCATACCATATCGTCGGAGGCGGTGACAGCCTGGTACGATAGGTGCCTTTGGATATCCGGGTGGATACGGACGGGAAGGTTTAGGACGAGTTCGAAATGCGGCCTGATAGCAGTTACTACTCGGGCATGGTTGCTTTGTTGAGTCCTTGAATTCGATCGGACGTGAGTAGACAGCACAATACCAGCACTTTGCAGTCGACTGGGACTCCGATCAAGAAGAGAGCAAGAGAAACTCTCGGCGTGGGTGTCTAAAAGGAGAGATCCTGGTAGATTGAAGGTTCCGTCATTTCATTTCATTGGGCCAAAAGGCGGGGGAAGCCTGCGGCTTCTCCTGGGATAGGACCTAGTTAAGTACGGCGTCCGGATTCCGGGAGGGACCTGAAATCACATGGTCTAGGTCCTCCCAGAGTTGAGCGCCTGAAACCGGACGTCGGGCGAGATTTTAGATGAAACACTACATACTCCTAACTCCAAGGAGATTTTCCACCCCGTCAACAAAAAAAGCCCCCAAACATTCACGATCCGCCTCTGCTCATAGTTATTAATGCCTGATAAGTCTCGTATTCCGTCAATCTTACGGTTGCTTTCTTTAAAGGTACTTACAACGGCCTCGCAGTCACACTTAAGTTGGGGCGCTTCTTGGGAGGCCTGAAATTCGATTTCGAATCGAAATTAGAATTCATTACTAAACATATTTTTAACAAAGAATGGCTACACTTTTGCTTTAGATAGGTCCATAATCTGTAAAAATTGTAATGTGTCATGAATAAAAAAATAAAAGTTTTAACATATTTATCATTGGGCTAACAGTTTTCTTAACTCGACTGAACATATAATTAAACAATGTATTAACCTGTAACCTCACTAGTAGAACCGTAGTTGTTAGGGCAAGTTTCGCATTTATACTAGATGAATTGAACTCATGATGTGAGCCTCTAGTCTCAGGCGTTCGGGGCCAGGGTAATTTTCTTATTCGTTTGGTTATCACGTCAAACCGAACTGTTGGATTGTCGACTTGTCGTTTTGTCAAGTCCTTGTAGAGATGTCCATTTTCGAGCTACTCTACCTGAAGATTTCCATACCCCATCTCATCTATTTTCTACTTTGTCTACTTAGCTATTTTGCTCTATGCAAGTCACAAGGGCAGTTCATTTATTTTCATTTTTACATACATATTAGTCTCCTTTTTACAAATTTTTGGACTTTTAACAACAATATTACATTCAAATGTAGACAACGACGTAAAAAGGACAACCACAGCCATCATGCAACTTATTTATTAGACATGTGAAAGTATCATACTCCAGGATCCCAAAGAATAATTATAACACTGACAAAGGAATACATCAAAAAAAAGATTCAGCAGTACAGATACTGGTTTAATTAAGTAATGTATTATCAAATTATTTAACATTGAAATTGGATTATGTATATCTTAGTGATAAGTTTGAATTCTAAAATACTATTCTATACAAACACTGTCTTAATGTTGAGAAAAATCTATGAGTTGAGATAAAATAATTAAAGAAGTCAATTTATTGTTTGCATTCCAAATAGCAAAATTTCTAAGGAGAGGCTTATGTCCAGCAGTGGACTATTAAAGGCTGTTGATGATTCCAAGTAGCAAGTCTGGTTTTGAATTATATAGGATTTTTAAGACAGCCTAATGGATAGAGCTGGTCAAATCTTGTTCTTGGGGAAGCTCAAGAATTGAGTAGCAGATATATTTATACAATACTCTAACTATTCAGATAGTTCACGGTTATTTAATATTCTAAAGAAAAAAGAACAACTGCTACATGCATTGTTTTAAATTTTCATGTTTTGTGTTTTTCCAAAGTTGCTAGCAATTCATCAGCTTCTTCAGATGACTTTACTCTGATTAAAATTGGAGTAGGTGGGGGTTTTGATTCTGGTGTTGGTATGCAGACCATCATGACATTATTTTTCCCCATCCTTTGCGTAGGTATGCCTGCCACTAATATTAAATTAACTAAAATAGTTCCCAAATTTGTATTGGCTCGGACCAACAGCTGATGTTTGCCAGTCTCTTCTATTTTCTTTATATATAGTGTTCCTACACCTTTGTCAACAAAATTATTTTCTTTCTTTACAAATATCTTGCACTTTTTATCATAAATACTATTTTCCTCAACGACTGGTGTATATTCCACTTTAGGGGGACTGTCATCATCATCTTCTTTAGTAGCCTCTTCAGTTGTTTCAGTGTTTTGTTTGATATTATTAAAGCTAAAAGGTTTCCCAGTTCCAAACGAAAATGGAGCTGATGATTCATTAGTAGCGGTGTTTATGTTAGTAGCAAAAGAAAAAGAAGATGATGTTGTTCCTGAAGAAAAAGGAGATGATATAGATGTGGTGGACTGGCTTGATGCAGTTGTCACACCAAATTTAAATCCAAGTGAACTTGTTGTGATTGTACTTGAAGTACTAGTTGCTGATGCATTTATTCCAAAAGAAAATGAGGCTGATTTGTTTCCTCCTAAAGTGCCATTATTTTGTGATGCAAATACGGAGGTAGAACTTTGTGGCATATTAAAAAGTGTTGGCCCTGTAACATTAGTTTTTGTCATAGTAGATGCAATTTTAGCAACATCCATTCTGTTGTCAGACTTGTCATCATTCTTGTTTTCTTTGCCTATAATTTGATATTCTTCTTGAATTTCTTTAAGATATTTTTCATAGTCTTTAAATATTGGTGTAAGTATGCACAGGGGAGTTTGTTCTACATGTTTCTTTATCCAATCAAATACGGATTCATTAAGACCTTTCAGTTTGGAATAATATTTCATTTCAGAATCATTCTGACTATCACCAGATTTCTTTTCTGTTCCAGTTGAATTTGTTTGTGATTTAGTTTTCATTTCAAACTCGTTTTGTACTGTGTTTGTTTGAATTTTAAATGGTGATGAATTTGAATTGCTGGAAAATAATGACTTAGCATTACTACTACTGGTAGGTATGTCCAGTTTAGTAGTAGAAGCTAGAGTTGTTGTTGCTGTTGACTTTGAGAAATCTGTCATGTCTGTAGAACTCGTAACAGTCTGCATTTTGAAAGGTGAGTCCACAACTGTTGAATCAGCTTTGGAAGTAATAAACATATTGGTAGCTGGGTTAGTATTTGTAGAAGAAACTCCAAATATGTTACTAGTTTTAATTTGAGTAGAAGGTGATGCAAATGGTGATGTTGATGGTGTATTAGAGCTTGTCTGAAGAGAAAATAAACCAGCATTTGGACTTGTTGCAGGTTTTTTACTTGTGAATAAACTAGATGTTACAGGTGAGTCCATTTTGGTAGTTGAACTACTGTTGTCATTGTTACTATTAGTTAGTTTTGACAAAAAGTCAAAGGATGCTGGCGGCGTCTTCATAAATCCACCAAAGCCTCCAAAGACACTCTTTTTAGGCTGAAAAAAAAAGTTTGTTTAATTAAGTATCCTTCAAATATAACCTTAATTATAATAAAACTAAGAAAAGTTGAAAGTACTCATTAGCCTAAATAAATTACAACAAAATTTGCTTTGGCTCTTCAAAATATTTATGTAAATTTGAAGAATAATTTTTGTCTATGAACAATTATATTTACAAACTATTAAAGTGTTTACTGATTAACAATTGATCTAACAAAGTAATTTAACTACATTCAACTTCTCTTTACACATCTTTCAATAGCCTGTGATTTCAACTATGATGCACTGGCGATGGTACTAATACTATTTATTAAATGGTAATTTAGATGATAAATATTGACTACATCCAAAAACATGAATGCACTTCTTAATCTTAGAGAATGACTATTGAGCTATAAAGAGTTTAAACTCTTTATAGCTCAATATATAGATAAATCCATTACATAGTGCAATTTTTGACATTATAGGGAATTCATCATTATAAAAAAATGAACTGGCTGAAAGCCATAAATTAGTCTGTTTATTTCAAAAGGAATAAATACTTCCCGATTTTGCTATGTTTTCATTGATGAATTTGTTAATTCTAACCAGAGAGTCGAGATTAGTGTGTTTAACCAAACAATCAAAGTTTACAGTTTATAATATACTAAATTACTATAGATAACTTTACCCAGAGTTTACACTGCATATTTTTTTTTTATTAATTAATAATAAATACATTTGAAAATAAGTTAAAGAATAATGACTAAAATGCAGTTATTGTAAAATTTCAACACTATTAACTTTGTGAAGAAATTTTTGTGTGTAAGTTGATAGACATAAGAGTAGAATGGATGGACTCCTTTAAAAAGGATGAGGTTTGAAAGAGAGTAAGCAGTGAACTTAAGAGTGATAGCGGAGTATGGAAAAAACTTGTTGTGACTATCCCAAATTAATTTGGGAAAAATGGTAGTGATCATCAACATTGTATTAAATCTTGGAACATAAATTATTAGCAATTATTATCTATAGAAAGTAAAACATATTTTTAAGAAATGACTATGATCAATCGCACAAGACGATTTCCTATGTGACATAAAATTAGTCTCGTAGTATCAGGTACAAGCATCGAGTAGGAACAACTTAATGATTTTTATCTTATCTTACCTCGTCCCCGGTTGCCTGCGAACGTCTTTTAGCAGTTCTGATTACACGTTTTTCAAGAATATTCTTCGATGCCATTTTAAATCCGCTCCCATTTTCATTATCACATTGATCGTTTGAATTTTCAACAGGATCTTCATCATCCCAATTGTCGTGATTTAAATCGGTTTCGGCTTGACGTTTTGACATACTTGCTAATTACTGCGCTTGCTTTAAACGCAAGTGCTTTTGAGTGCTGTGCCAATCACCATGAAATTTCAAACTTAAGCATTTCAAATGTTAGATTGCACTATGAGCGAGAACTGAGCTTTACACACTTTATTAAAGAATATTTATGGTTAACCTTACACAACTGTAATTGTTAATAATTTTATGAGATTTATCATTATTCATACACATAGAGGTACACGCTGTCGGCAACTTTAATGAGTGTACATGAACAACCTTTATTACATTCACATTGGCTTTACTCTCTGGCCTCTGTCTACTGTACAGACTATACAGATTCTACACCATAGATAAATAACCTAGAGAGAACAAGAGCCCCAATCTTGCAATGTAGGCAACGAGAGAGATGGAAAATACAAAGTCTTTTCTATCTCTCTCTAGTCGAGCTCGGTGGTTGGCTGGGGAATACGAGGGGTAACAAGTAGCCAATCGCAGCTTAGTTAAACTGAGACAGCGGGAAATATCGGTCATCCATCTCTCTCATTGCCTGTATCGCTTCCACTTACAGACAGCTGTATCCTGTGTTCTCTCTATGCTTATATCTCTATGGTCTACACTCTACCGGAGACCGGACCTTTCGGAAATTCAAAAAGAGCGTTGTGAAAGCAAGTGGACCATCTACAAAACTGCAAGAAATAGTAATATAATCAAATGATAATCATACTATACTAAATGATAACAATAATACAATCATGAATGAATATTTCTACTTCCACGCTGGCCGTTATCTGGAAGTTCCTTAAGACTTTGGGTATAGTTTGTTTTTTGTCCAAATCCCCTCCGATATCACCGGTGGGGTGATTATGTCGGACTCGAACCGACCAAAAACCGCACGCTGTCTCGGATAGCAATAAGTAGTCGGAGAACCAGTTGTACCCTAGAAAGGAAATCCCTGGTACCCCGACGTAGCTCGGGCCATTCACGGCGTCTAGATAATACCGTCCTGCGTGGGAACCCCCATGTTCCCTATGTGCTCCCGAAGGGCGCGCGCGCTCCGCAGCGAGTCTTAGCGCCACCCCGGCCTACTTCTACTAGGGTGACAGATGGCCTCACCTGTTACCCTGCGCTTATGAAGGACGGAGATCATTCTGCGGTATCCGAGTCGTCTGCGGTACCTGGCCCGTTACCAAGCAGGTAGAGTCCTGAAATTCTCCCCGTCCCGCTTTGCCATCTCCTTCGCAAGCAAACTTGCTCGCAGAAGGAGACGGCGGAGTTCCATGCACTCTTGATGAGTATCATGGCGGCAATCATATTATCGACCGAGAGGATTCCCACTCCGATGGCCACCACTAAATAACGACTCTGCTCCACCCACGCTGGGCATTCTGCCAACGTGTGGAGCGCCGTATCCACGGTCCGGCCATCGCAGTGGTGGCACTCAGGCGTTGGCTCGTTGCGGATCAGACACAAGTGATTTCCGAAACATCTTTTCTCGGTGATCACCTGCGTCAGCCGGTATGAGAGGGTTCCGTGACGCCTCTTGAGCCAATCGATATCACAACTCCTGACGTGAAATAGGCAACTGTTGGAACCAGAAAAGCTCAGGAAAGGCACGACTCTTCTGAAATTACATATTTTCATAACGAACTCTTTTGTTAATTTCGAATCATATTTATTTTCAGTTTTAATGAGACCAGGTCAGAAGTCCTTTAAATCGATTTAATTGTATGAAATGTTTAATGATAGACTATTATAAAAAATGGCAGACTTTTTTATTATCTAACAATAGAAAGGATACTCAATCAATGTAAAACTTGACCTGAAGTATGATTGGAAAAGACTGTCTGTGATGGTCAAACGGTAGTTCTTAACAGAAGCGTTAATTCTGTAAGATGGCAGCACTCTCCGCTTGGCCTGATTTTGAAGTAGCATGTAATTCTAAAAATCATATATTAGTTATTCTTCAATTTCTGCAAACACGGACCACTAAAGTTTTTAGTAAGTTTATACCGAAAAATCTCTATGTGTGTATTCCAATGTAACGTAATTAAGCTTTCAAAACAAGCAATTTAGTTTCGTGTATGAAGGTGTTTTAAATCGTTCGCTGTGTGTATCTCCGACTATGTTGTTGTGTTTGTTTTAAAATAGGTGTACATGTACAATATGGTATGTATATGTGTGTGTTGAACTAGTGATACCTACATAGTGTATTGATGTATTGTGTATTGTATAGTATTTCAATTCAGTTGAAAGCAGTTCAGTTTCGTAGCGTTGATCAAATAGTATTATACTGTACTTTAGGGAAGATTTTTTTAAAATGGACGTGCTTAACTTTGTTCTAAACTATTTTATTAGATTATATAATTATTTGAGTACTGTGTAAAGTTTCTAAAAGTGTATTATTGTTTCCTTGTTACTGTTTTAAAACATGAGTTGTTTCTTCGGAATCATTGTTATTTGCTTTTAAAATTCATGTAGAAATTTATTTGTAATTTAATTAATGTGTCAACTGTTAGTTAAATAACTATGGAAGTATCAAATGAGATAAAAGAAGATATTCGTAAAACACAAACAGATTTAAAAAATGCGATACGAATCCATCAGGTTGGTATCATCACTGATTTATATTTGGTTTTTAACTTAAATGGTAACAAACGAAAAGATAAAACAGGATTATTTTATTTATAGGTTTGGGTTGCACGCCTGCAAGATGATGAAAATGTAAGTAACGGGTTTCGTTAAAATTGCACGTGAAAATCAAAACAATAATATGCGATTTTTTTATCTACAGAACGTACATTTGAAGACGAAAGTTATGGAAGCTGAAAAGGAAATAATTGAAATTAGTCAAGCTCAAGTAAGTTTTATAAGTAGTTTGGTAAGGGAAAGGAACTTGGGAAGTATTGACAATAAAATTCACCTCATAATAAATACTATAAGTAAGTGTTAATGATATATGATGTGGTCATGAATATTATGGTTTAATTATTTGATTATCTTAAAAACATGTCAGTATTCTTTACTTACCACTTCAAATGCTTTTTTACAACATTTTCTATAAACATTTTAAAAGTTAACTTTGATGTAATTTTATTTTAATTTCTCTGCTGGGTGGATAAATATTTAACACCTACATATCAAGGGTTCATTGAAAACTATAACATGCACACACACACATTAAGAGACCATTCATTAATAGTGTCTTAAATTGTTTCAATTATTTTATTCTAAATTATGGATATATATATTTTTTAATGCTTTATGGAATTGTGTACAAGAATTTGGTATTACATCTTGTTATTAATATTAGTAAATGTATGTTTCATTATTTTCAATATTGATTGCTGTTGCATATCAAAGTTTTTATAAATTAGTGAGTCATTTATATAATTCAGATATAGTTAAACTTAGACATAAATTAGCCATTTTTGAAATGCATTATAATGCATAGTATTCTTTCTATTCTTTTTATTCTTACTATTCTATTGAATATTCTATAATTATATTCAAGCAATAGCTCTAAAAATAATTACTTCATGTTATAAAGTTTCCTTTTAAATATTGGTAAAACAATAAAACATATCCATACTTCTTTAATAAATAATAGTTCAAAAAAACTAAAAAAACATACTTGTGACAAACTGAACTTAAAAAATGGTAAATAATTATGTATAAGTTCAAAAGAGTGATTGACAAAATAATCATTTTATTATAAACAAGTAATAATTAAAAAAATCAGAAACCCGACTGCAAAAAGACAATTTCAAAGTAATTCACCAAAAAGACTGAAACAGCATGAGGTCGGCCACAAACAAGGCCCATTTTTATGCTGTACAAAAACTTCTTAAACCAATTTATTATTTCTTATTAAATCTACAGCCTTGGCCAAAAGTATTAGGCACCCCAAAAAAATGCACAATTCATGTTTACTGATTGAACAATGAATAAATGCTTATCTTAGATGGCATGCCGGGGTCACAAATAACTTCCTAGAAAAGCAAGCATCTATCTGTTATAGTCATAAAACACCTGGTGACTGAAAACAAAGGATTTGTTTTTATGCGTTTTTATCAGTCAATGTTTGGTCACTTGTATTCAGGACTCTAACGAGTAAACAAGCTTTTATTTCTAACATAGTGATTAAATTGACACGTAATTTATTTAAAAATGCCGAAAAGAAGTGAAATTAGTTTGGAAAACCGAGTAAAAATACAACTTTTCCATGAACAAGGGAAGTCGCAAAAAGAAATTGCTAAGTTAGTGAAATGTTCGCGTTGCGCTGTGCAATCTGCTATCAGACGGTTTGCTGAGACTGGCAGTCACGCTAATAAACCAAGAACAGGCAGAAAACGTGTGACTTCGAAGTGCGAGGACAGAAAATGAATACGCGAATCTATGAAAGATCGGAAGAAAACATCATCAGAGCTTGCTGCTACTTTGTTGGAGAAGGCTGGAAAGCCAATAAGTGCTCGGACCACCAGAAGAAGACTCGGAGAAGCAGGCTTAAAAGGATGCAAAGCCCTGGCTTTCAGAAGCTAACAAAAGAAAACGACTTGAATGGGCTCTACGGCATCAACATTTTACTGAGGAAGATTGGGCCAATGTGGTATGGTCTGACAAATCTAACTTTGAGGTAAGTAAATTTTACTGCTTTTGTTATTAATAATCATGGATAGTTATTTATTTAACTAAAATAATAAAAGTTAAGGCAGTTTAAAAAAAGTGTTTTTTTTCTTTTTTCAACAGATATTTGGAACGCCAGGTGATATTTGGAACCTTCGTGAGGCGACGTGTGGGCGAAGAATACCATCCAGATTGCGTCGTACCGACAGTAAAGCAAGGAGGAGGCAGCATAATGATCTGGGGCTGCATGGCTACTGATGGGGTTGGCAAAATGTTTGTTTGCGAAGTCGTATGAACAGCGAAAAGTACATAAAAGTGCTTGAAACTGCGCTTATGCCTTCGCTAACGAGTATTTTCGGCGATACCAACTTAGAGGGAGTTATATTCCAGCAAGGCAATGCACCTTGTCATAAGTCAGCGACTACGATGCGTTGGTTTACTGAAAACAACATTGACTTGTTTGATTGGCCAGCACAGTCACCAGATATGAACCCAATTGAACATCTTTGGAGCATTTTGAAGCGCAAGATTAAAGAGCATAGTATCACATCGAAAACGGCATTAAAAAATGCTTTAGTACAAGAATGGCATGCCATTGCAAGGGAGGATTGTACTAAGCTTGTACGCAGCATGCCAGCTAGAATTAGTGCAGTAATTAAATCCAAAGGGGGACCGACTAGATTTTAAGTTTTTTTCATTCCTTTTTGTGAATTATAATGGTAATAAATCAATTCAAAAGTATAAGTTGTTTTTTTCCTTTATTTTAAGTAAAATGTAGGGTGCCTAATACTTTTGGCTGGCAAGGCTATATATATATATCTATATAAGAAGAAACTGATAAATTGATTCACTGATTGATCGATCAATGCACAGCTGCAACCGCTGGGTCTAGAAGCATGAAATTTTGCACAAATGTTCCCTAGATGGGGTAGGAGTGCACAAAGAAAGGATTTTTAAAAATTCCACCCTGCAGGGTGCAAAATATAATTATAATCTCTTTAAAAAAAATTACTAAGGTTATAAATAAGTTGCAAGGCCAAATTTTTGCAGAATTGGCGGTTTGGTTTACTTTATTTTTTTTAACCCATTACTATTTTGCGCCAAAAATCCGCCATTTTCGTTTTTTCTTTTAAAAAGCCATTTATGGACACTTGGGTTTTTGAGACGGATAAAACAAGTTGAACTGACTTTAAACAATGCTTACCAAGAGCACTAAAAATTAAAAAAATATAACAAAACAAATAGAAAAAAAAAAAACAAAATGACTGTGGCCCTCAATATACCAATAGGTAACATTATAATAGCAATAGATTACCTTACCTTAGTCTGTTTTTTTTAAATTTTTAAAACTTAAATTTGCTTTTTTAATTTTTAGTGACTATTGATTTCTCATTAAACTGCTGTTGAGACAGTTTTGTTACTGTAGTGCATCTGAGATGTTTGCGCAACCTCACACCGATAGTTTTCATGAGATATTGCGCAAAAAACAGCTTCATTGCTGAGAAGGTTGAGAGACAGTTGGAACAGCATCCTGAAAACTATAGCGGACAGTTTCAACTCAACAATTTCATTTAAAACTAACACAATGGATACTCTGTTTTTCCGAAATAAAAAACATTATTATTATTACAGACAAAAATAGTAACAAGTACACACATTGGTATGTGGTCCAAGACACCACCATATTTTTAGATATGGAAAGATAATTCATCCTAATCAGGATAATTGGACAAATTTATTAAATTATTGTCTTGTCATTGGTCCTTGACAAGTGTGGATTTTTTTTAATTAATCTGACCTTTTAAAGCAGTTAAAAATCAAATTCAAAGATTCTGTTATATAATACATACCTAGTGGTGAAGCAAAAATAATGGTGTTAAAAACGAGACCTATTTGCCCATAAGAGCCCTTAAAAAATGACTGGTTTTGAAATGTATTATGATCATATTAATAAATAATAATAACTTCATACATCTCACACTTGGCTATGGTAACCAAACTGGCGACAAACATACTTATATAATATTAAAATTACATACTTTAATTCAGACCATGTTTAACAAAATTCTTTACTTTTTACTTACTTTTACAATATTCTTTACATTATTATTGCCTGTTTACAATTTCTGTGACATTGTGGTCCATATTAACATAACAAATTTTAATGCATATTTAAATTATTTTATCAATTGTATGCCGAATACATAAAACTGAACACATGCCTGAATATATATACATAACTTGCCTGAATATATATACATAACTTAACTAAATAATAAAAACTATAGTATCTGTAAACTATATCTATTACCTCCTTTATCTACCTATGATCCATAATAGAGAGCATAAATAGAAATTAATCCATGCTATAAATTTCTTTTTAAATATTGGTGCAGCAATATTTAAAAGTGAATTTTGATACCTCTAAAAAATCTTTTACTACTACTATCATTTTTCAATATTTTTGCAGAAATTGGTTGTGGAGAGATTACGAAGAGAGCTTGAGTTATACCAGCAACGTTTGAAGCAACGCAACAAACATGTCAATATTGAAAATGACAACAAATATGTTGCAACTCAATTGAGGGACCACCAGATACAATATCGTAGTAGAAATAGAACAGTTTCATTGTTGAAACCATCTGTTTTAAATGAGTTACATATTAAAAGTGAAAACAACAATGATGAGGCAAAAGAAAACATATCAGATTCAGAAAATGAACTCAAGTCTTTCCATGAAAAGGAAAACTCAAATGATGGCAAAGATAAATATGCCAGAAATTTTTCGCAATTTTCCAACACAGTTCATGACAGCAGAAGCAATTTTGTGAATGCTCTCAAAAAAGTAAAAGAATCTTTAAGGTAAGGTTTTTATCAATATCAATTAATAGTTTTTTGTACCCTTTTTTTTTTTCCGTGCGGAAATCCCCTCGGATACCACCTGTCGGTGGCATGTCGGACTCGAACCGACTAAAACCGCACGCCGTCTCGGGTACTAATAGCCGGGGAACCAGGTATACCCTAGAAAGGAAGTCCCTGGTGCCCCGACATACCTCGGGTCATCTACAGACGAGTAGACGACCCCCCCCCCGTGTGGGAACCCCATGTTCCCTGTGCTCGCCGCCACCCCGGAGTTTTTTGTACCCTGTCACTTGTTTGGCGATAGACTGTGTAAAAATTTATGGGATATATTTCTGTTGTAGTGGGAGTCAGCTGACACATGCGCATCAACTCAATAATGACTGGCAGGAACAGAAGTCTGACTCTGACTCATCCTGTCGTGCAGACCTATCTCCTACTCCTTCACCCCCACCATTACCTGAACCTGGGCAGCTAGTAACAAAAGAGTTATTTTTAAGGTATGGTGACTCCTTTTACTTCTCTAGCACTATAAAATATTACAGGATTTCTTGCAGTGCCAGGTTTATTTCGCTGTAACCATTAAACCACATATGTTCTGTATAATAAATTTCATATGTCTTTTAATTAACTTTAATATCAAATTCAAAATTGGATCAGTGCTTCATTTGGGTGTATTTTGTTATCTTTGTTGCCTTTAGACTTTAACTTCAGACTTCTTCTGATAACTTAAGAAAACAGATTTTGTTTTTATCTTGGAGGATACATTTCCAGGTAGGTTTAGAACCTAGTCTGAAAAAAAAACTACTAACTATATTTAACATGCTTAAGTTCTAAATTTACTGCACGGATGCCGTAGTGGTTTAAGCGGTCGCCACGCCGCTGCCTACTGGGCCGAGTGTTGTGGGTTCAGACCCCACATGGGACGACACTTTGTGTAATCCACAAATTTGTTGTTCTGAATCTGAGTGTTCTTTGTGAAGTCCCCGCGACACAGGAATGTATTCCTAATGCGGGAGTTGTCCTTTAAAAAAAATACTATTGCTCTTGTTCGAACTTGTTTAAGTGTGTATGTTATGTTTTGCAGACTCATTGGCTTAGTGACTCCATCTCAAAGGGAATTACTAGAGAAAAAGAGGAACGAACGTCGGAAGAGGTCTACAACAACTACAAACAGAAATGACTTTTTATATGGCAGTTATGAAATGTTATCTGTAAGTTGTGCTAAGTTTAAATATGTATTATTTCAACTTTTTAAATGGTCAAATTTAGCCTTTAAAATAGAGTTTTGGATCATTGAAATAAAATTGATTTTTACTGCCTAAAAGACGCACTCAGTATGAAACAATAAGAAGGGCCGATCGGCTGCTCTTCCACTGGCGTAGACTGACGGCTCCGTGTACGTGGTTTCTCGCGCTCAAGTATCGCACCGGTTCCGATTGCATTCTCTCGCTGCGTGGCCAACCACAGCCGTCATTTTTATAGTAACGTTTGAACGTAACAAGTGTGCACTTCATAAAAAGAGAATATTGCTCTTGTCAAAAGCCTAGCCTAGTCGGCCGATGTGAACGGACCTTTCTAAACATTCTTATTTAATAATTTCAGAAAAGGAAAAAGTACAATCAGTTTTCATACCTACAGACACACAGCGATCCCCCCCAGACAAGGTCTCAAAAATTACGTAAGCAACAATGTGAACAGGTTCAAAAGGTAATCTAAGTTCATTTCTCTTTTTATACTCAATGTTGGATTTCTCATGTAGGGTAAAAGTAGTAAAAGTAAAAGCTGAGAATCAGATCAAACAAAAAGAGCATGATCATATCAAAAGTTCAGGGCGCCAGGGTGTGATTTAGTTAAAATAATATAATATAATAGGTTGTTTTTAGTAGTCTGATGGCAATAATACAGTATGCCTGGTTTTTTATCAAAAGGTGTCCAAAGTTATTATTGTTATACTAGGTATATTATGAATATTAAAAACCAAATTAGTTGTTAGTTATCAGGCAGATATATTGCCAGATTTGGCACTTCATCATCATCATCAACAGCCTTGACTAATCCACTGCTGGACGTAGACCTCTTCTAGAAAGGAGGCTGGTATAGGGTTTGTTTCATGTTTTCCTTCTCTTTTCGGTGCTGTTTTCCTGCGTAGTTTTCTTCCTTAGTCGGCTCTTACGACACCCACGGGATGAATACCCACTGGTGGTTGGTGACACTGTATTCTAATTTTAGTTATTTATTAATCCTTCACATCACGGATGAAAAAATTGGATTTGGCACTTCGTGAACTTGCAATGACAATGCCTTTGCATGCCTTTATATACCTAGTATCTTGCAGTAAAAACCTAGTCTTAAAAATAAATATTATTACTAGAAAAAAAACTTATTTTTCTGTTGCAAGAAACATTTATTAGTATAAAGTGTGTTAGATAATAAATGAATATAAAAGAAATAAAAATATATGAAGCTCATTCAAAATGATCTCCATTGGCTTTAATGCAATCCTTTAAACGTTGAGGCCAGTTACCAATAGAAACACGCACTCTCTCCATGAGAAAATTCTTCACTGCGAATCTAATGGATTGCATTGCATTTGAGCATGCTATACTCTCTAAAACTGACAACAAATCGTAATGCAACGGATTAAGGTCAGGACTATATATGGCGACCAGTCTCCAGGTCTGATGAAGTCAGAAACGTTCGTTTCGAACCGCGTTTGGGCTGGTCGAGCATTATGACCCGGTGCTGAGTCTTGCTGAAAGGACCATTCTTGGTTATTAATAAAGCTTTTTAAAGAGCCTTAAATACCTTGTCAAGAATCGTATCTGGTACACTTGTGCCGATGTTTTGACACCTTTTTCACAAAAATATGGCTCACTCACTCCTTGATAGCTAACACCCCTCAAATCATTACTGAATTCGGATAATGCCCACGTTGTTCTCTGCTGACTAATTGGGAAGCTTCTATAGAGCTTTGAGCATAAAGTCGTTCATTCTGATTGTTAAAATATTGTTCAATGGTTTCCAATTTCTTGTCAGTAAACAAAATTTTTTTTGACCTCCATTTGCGTACCCCATAAAAAGTGGTTTTATCGATTTTACCAGTCTATTCATTTTTAAATTATCAGTTATATAATGATCAGTGCGTCTCTTATAGGCTTCAAGTTCTAAGTCATCTTTTAAAATGCATAAGTTCATTCAGTCATCAGTCATCATTTAACACTAATTGACGCAAAAATGAGAAAACAATGAATATTCATATCGGAATGACAGATTCCAATTTCAAATCTAAGATTAAAGTTTTTTTAATTGGAACAGTATTTGTGGCTAAGTGTGCCTTTTTTTTGGTGACGGGGTAGAAAATCCCTTCTCGGATCTCATTTGACCTTGAAGCTAATAACGAATCCATGCTATTATGCAGATCGTAGGCATGCATATATGCTGCATGCTATGCATGCATGAAGTCCGACGCCGTTTTGCTATCTTTTTAAACGCGATAAACTCAACGAAATGGAATTTTTATACAGTCTTCACAAATCTTTTCCACTCAAAGAACTGCAAATAAAGGAATAAATGGTAATCAGAATGAAAATACGGAGGATACAAGCTGGCTTCCGTCCAAGGTTCTAAATTTTAATCAGCGTGATTTTCGCAGGGTGAGGTAACTAACGAAGGTCTCTTTTGCTTTAATTCTGTATTCAACTTTGGGTGCAGTACTTTCCGGCCGTGATTGTCTCGCCTGGTTGAGTAATTCAAAATAAATTATCAAATGAATGTCCCACCAAATAGACAACAAAACTTTTTCACCTAAACGCATGGAAACTTACTCACGTCATCCTCATAACAACAAGATCCTCATAGTATACCGTTCCAGATGTCACCTGTAAGCATTTTAGCATTATGTTACGTTTATTGTACCAAAGACAACATTCCCAGAGGATATGATGAGCAGACTATTTACAGATAGAACAACGTGTTTAGCATTGACACACTTTTAATTTGACTAATTTACCATGACCTGTAAGAAATCTAAGTTCAGTTCAGTTCTTTCCATCCGTCGGCGAGCAGTTGTCGAAGATATGGCTTGAGGTGGATGGCTGTGTCGCTTAATTATGTATTATGTGGAATATCTGCTATGTTCTGCTATGTTATGTTATAACGATTATCAAAAGTTGCTATCCTCATGTGCTTAACTTATTATTTCTTAGACCTATGACAACTTCTAATTGCACAGTGCAGTAAAGTTTAAATTAATGTTGAATATATTGAATAATTTTAATTTCAGCAGCCTCAAAGTCAGAATAAAACGTCCCGTGAATGCTCGCCGTCAGGATCCTCGACTGAAAATAAAGGTACACCGAACTTGGTCATTATAAGTAGAATCAGAATAATAATATTGATTGACTTAAAATCGAATCTTGATTTCATCATTGTTCTTATATATATTATTTCGTGCGACAGGTTGGACAAATGGTAAGCCTGCGTGGGCTGCAGCTCTTCCCGCCAGTTTATCCGTGGAACCGGTGTATGCCAATCACAATCACAAAAAAGCTTGTCACGCGTGTGGACGAAATGGTATGTTCTAACTTATATGTATGTATCTATAGAAGCTGAAATTGACTTTGTGTAAATTATTTAAACCACGTGAGCAATGTCTCATGTTGTTGAAGGCAACACGACGACGAAACATACACACATACATAAACGACTTTCGCCTATTTGTTAACTGCCTTACGAGTTACATCACAAAATTGCTATTGCGGATATTGACTCACGGCAAAGATTTGGTTGGGGTTCCGGAGTCATTGGCTTTTTCTAATACAAGATTATTTATTTTACTTTCTTTCTTAAAATATTGATAAAATTTCTTAATGTTGCTGCCACTGGGATAACTAGTGGTAAACTTTAGAAAGACGAAAGCATGGGGTTTTGCTCGTGTAAATTTTTATAGTATATAGTTTTGTATCTTTAAGAACATTGAATCAACTCAACTCAAAGTTATTTCATAAAATAGTTTTGAAATTGTCCTTTATGTAGACTCTTAAGTCATTGATCAACACACACAATAGCAACAATTTATATACCTGTGAAGAGAAAACAAGATTAGGAAAAAAATCGAATTTAAGAGAAAGTGAAGTGAAACATAAAAAACAGAAAAAAAACACACTAGCCCACACTTCCAGTTAAGAAATAGCCTGCTCTAAATTAATCCCAAGCATTTTTGTCTGCTATGTAATCCACAATTGAGTAATAGGCTTTCTGACATAATTTACGTTTTATTGCGGTTTTAATATTGTTAATACTTAAGTCTTGAATATGACTAAGTAGGTATTTAAATATAAGGGAAAAAGTTTCTTCGTATTTTATATACACATTCACGATATATACGTGCCATTTTGTTTTATAACTTGTTGTCACCTTGTGGATAGTAATCCTAGTACATATCTTGTTATTCTACTAATCTTGGGATTTATGATTAAAAAAATGCGAAAAGTAGTTTAGACAGTCCTCTTTTCATGTTAACCTAACATTATTAACCTAAAGGTTGCCTGTAAGATATTGCTTTTTAGCGATAAGGCCGCCATTTGTACATGATCATTAACTTGGAATACTATTGTATGTATAATATCCTGAATTCTATTATCTAAAGAATACTGAAGACACCGAAATAGGGCAAATCTTGCAAAGGTTGCAAGGTCAGGAATTAACACCACATTAACCGTAACCACAGGTGGCCGCATTAACACTTCCCAACCAAGCTCTCTCAATTTTTGCTGAGTGGCCAAAGATCACTCCTTTTCTGTTAATCAATTTTTCAATTTTTTGTTTGAGTCATTAGTTATTGGCGGTAAAAGCTCGTAATAAACGTTGCCCTTCTAAATTCACTACTTCACAAATACTACTCCACACATAATCCGGGCTTCGCCATATGATAGATATCGAGTGTTGATCTTTATCGCACGTTCTCTTCGTAGGTGATCCTCTTTTCATCACCAATGATTAATCTTTTCAAAAATATTTTCAAGAATCGTAAATGGGTACACGATTCATTAGGTTTTTTTCAGTGAGCTTATGTGGCACCCAAATATCGACTTTTTTGGAATAGCCAGACTTTTTCGAAAGAGTTAAAACTATCTTGTGGTCAATTGTTAATGAATTAAATAAATAAATCCAGTTTCTCCGCCATGTCGTAAACATTAATAGACCGATCTAGCACCACTTAAAAAAATATGGCGTTTGTGATTGCATTAATAATAATATTGCGTACAGATGGCGTAGTGGTTTAAGCGGTCGCCACGCCGCTTCCTATTGCGTTGAGTGTTGTGGGTTCAAACCCCACACGGGACAACACTTGACTCAGAACAACAAATTGGAAAAAAAAAATACTGACCTTCGGTTGACTTAAGTATTGTATTGATATTTGTCGCCTTATTACATTATATTAAAAAAAACTTCATACTAATATGAGCACGATCATTTGAACAAATTTTACAAAAAATCCTCTACCATACAATTTTTTTTATTATTTACAAACTTCTGTTTACATTTTAAAACTACATAACACTCACAAAAATACATATAACAATAGCGTAACAAACACTAACAAGTAAACACTTCATGCAACGTTCCAATACAAGCTAAGCAACTATTTTATAACATATTAAACAAATACATTATACAAAATAAATGACAAGTTAGTCGACCAACCAAATGAAAAAAAAACAGTTGCAGATATAATTACAACTTATTGTGGCTTATTGTAAAAACATATTTAGTAAACAACAGAGTCCTTAGCGACTCATGATGACAACAAACTGCGCACGTGAACACTACAACGCAATACAACCAAACATTGTGGTGGCCTAAACCTTTTACGTTTTTATTGTATGCAGACAGAGTTTCTTGAAACTAGTGAGAGTTGAAGGTTTAGGTTTTAATACTTTAATTGTTTTCGCAACCATTACGCGAAAATATATATTGATTATATTATATATCATTAGAAAATATATATCAATAAAAATAGGATATTGTTTGTGTTGTATTTATATTTACATTATTAATTAGTATTGTTATCATAATATCTGTTATCATATTACATTGTAATATGATAACGGTCTTAATATACTTAAAATTAAACATTAATAACGTAACGTAACTTCTAGAATGACAATCACAAAATAGTCATAGTTTTAATGGGATTGATATACATGATGGATTGACAACAAATTATCAATTTTCAATCTTCTCCTTTTTTTTTGTTAAAAGGTTTGTAACGCCACTAAAACTTTTTTCGACAAGATATGACAAGGGAAACGCCATCAAAAGTTTTCTCGCAATTGCCAACAGTTCAGGATATTTTTCGATTATTTCTGCCTGCAGCCAAAATATTTGATACTCTCTTTTAAATTTCACCTTCAGCTCCTCAGTAGTGCTAAGCTCGAGTAGCTCCTCCTCCTCCTCACATTCTCCACTTCCGCTTCATTAAATGGATTTATGATCCATGGTGGTATTTCCATCGTCAGAATATCTTCAAATCTGATTTTGAAGTCATCATGAAGGGCAATTAAAAGTTGAACGTATGTCTGAATATCCTTATCAAGGCATTCTACCTTAAGTTTGAAAACTGGAAAAATTCAAACTGATATTTTGCTTCATAACTTTCAATTTTCCAAGAAAAGCCAAATTACAGCCCTTTGTTAGTATTAGATTAAAGCTGTCCTCTTCTAATTGTAACTTAATGTCATTAAATTTTTTGAACAAATCTGTCAAATACTCGATATCTGCTTTCAAATTGATTAGTTTTTCTTTACTTTCCAGAAACTCTGAAACTGATTCAAAAAGTGAGTAAAATCTTGTTAAACATGCACTTTTCGACAACTCCTGTTGTCGGTGGATGACACAGTTAATTGCAGTTACCTCTGGTATGATTCTTTTAAGATGGCTTATAATAAACCCACGATATCGCCCGACCATAGTAGTAGCTCCATCTGTTGCCTCCGAAATAACGTCTGTGAATGGAATAGATTTTTCCTTAAAAAAACACTCATGGCATTAAATATTGATTCACCTTTAGTGTCCGTCTCCAAAGTTTTCGCGAATAGTAGCTCCCCATGAATTATTTCGTCCATAACAAATAGAACATATGCCAATAATAATGCTTCGAGGTAAACTTGTTTCGTCCAGCAGAATAAAAAAATGAGTTCTATGCAGATATACAAGAAACTTTCAATATCAGAGCTCATTTCATCAATACGTCTTTGTACAGTGTTTGTCTTTGTACTTTGAGTAACAAAGGAATTCTTTTGAACATGCCAAATGGAGATTTTTGCAGAACAGTTTTTAAAACCTCTTTAACACTGGGTAAAATTAACTGTTCTCCAATGGTGTGCGATTTTTCTGATTTCGCTATAAGTAATGAGATATCGCAAGATTCCCGCAACCCATCATCGTTACTTTCAGGTGCTAAAGTGAACATACTGTGCACGGTGGGTCTCTTCATATTTTTCCTTCAATGCTTGAAAATATTTCAAATCTTTACCTATTTCATCAGGATGACACTTTCTTAGATGATCTTCGAGCTTCGATGGTTTCAGTCATTGCACAAAACTTCGTTGCATAAAAGACATATGGACAATCGCTTGTCTGCCTTTGATGGATGAAAATCCAATTTTAAATAATCATCAACATACTGTCGACATTTCTTCTTAGATTCAGCCATGTTTCGTATCAGTTACCTACCTGTAAAATAATCATAGTAAGTAATCTTAGTAATTGCGAATCCTGTATCGTTGCGCGATTGCCTTCACTAACAAAAATATTGGAAAAGATGCCTCGAAGATAATTTACTTTAATTGATGATGATGAACTTGGTTGTAAATATTCTCGAAATAAATATATAAAAAGGCACGGCATATACGTGGATTTGTGGATCTCACAAAAGCTTTGAAACGATTTCAATTTTTCTTTTAATTAAAGAGCTTGAATATCGGCCCATAAGAAATAAACTACAACTCTTTTAAGTTATCTCTAGAACCGCAACCAAAAATTCTAAACAGGTGACAAAATACAATAACGACCTGCCAGTCGTGAATGGCGTGCCGCTAGAAAGTTTTCTTGGATCTGCCTTATTCCTCTTTTTTAAAAAGGGCTTTATCTATGAAGTTAAGGTTTTTAAAACCAGCATTTTCAGATTTAACTATTTGTGGATTGGCGCGTAATTCGAAATTCAAATAAATTTATTCGAAATGCATGTTTTTTTCAATAAAATTCAGTCATTTGTTTTAGAAAATGTTGTTTTTGTGAAATTGTGGTAGTTTTTGACTCCACGAATAAACTATAAATCAGTTCAATTTTCGAATATCAGATCTTCCGCTGCGCAAATAACACGAAACATTAACGACATGTACGGGCCTAACACTGCTTTCACGGTCCATTATTTGAATTGAAGAACGCTCGCAGTCGGCCGGTAACTATAGTCGATAACGACGAATAGAAGACGATAATGGAAGCGGTTCCAACTAAATCTACGGCTGAGCTCGGTGCGGGCTTTAATGTCAAATAACATTGAAACACTTGCGTCAAATCGGAAAGATGAAAATGATAGATACTTCGATATGGTATGGTTTGCATTTAACCACGTTACCGTGCCGAAGTCTTGGACGGGCGATACTCCGTCCTCTAGCCAAATGGGGCTATTGGGAAAGATGACGGTGGATTAATAATTTGACATGCTAGATCTACATGAGTATTTTTTTTTTATTGGCGTTCGAGTCGAATAGTTCAGGTGACTGAATACCACGAAGAGCTGGACTAACATATTTAAAGTTGTTAGTGAAGCTGGACTAGAACAGATTTAAAGTTGTCGGTGTAGATAGATAAGCTGCCAGCAAAGGCGAATTTTAAAACCGAGCATGTTGCATGGCTACAAAGGAACGCAGTCCAAGCCGGCATGAGTCTTTTAAAAAAGAAGTAGTGAGATTGTTAGAAGATCACATACTGAGGATACCGAGGTATGTACGTCATCGAGAAATTAGCGCGGGACATGGACAGAAATTATAAGGCCATTCCACTGCCAATATAATGCCATAAAACTGATTTGGGCTCAATTGTTGATTTGGTTGCTATTATTTCTTGACTAAATGCATACACATGCACATTACATTTAGAATGACCAAAAATAATGATAGGTTAGACAGAAGATTAGTATTTAGTAAAAGTATGTTACGACACATTTAAATATTTTTATCTCTGACTATGAAGCTAGCAATTGAGAAAGTGAATAAATATTATTATCTGTTTCATACTATTATTAATCCTACACCTATCCTTGAATTTTCTGATGGAAAATTATGCAAAAAAATGATGAATTTTAAGGCAGAAATTTTAAATGATTTTCGACTTAGAACAATGGTCTGAACACTATTTCAGTATTCGTTACGATGCCCCTTACACTCTGTATTTTTTTCTTACACACTTTCCACAACTACTGTTCCTAAAATATAGGAAAATTAAATACATTTAAGACTGATTTATCTTTGATCGATATTTATGAATTTCTTATTTACCTTGAATAAGTAAAACTAAGAAATCATACATTAGAGGCCAGCAGAAAAGTCTTTAAGGGCTTTGTGTGTTTACGAGAACGACGACGGCGCCGAGAAAGGTGTTAGTAGTATATGTAATAAGTGCGCGCAGCCGATTTGTTGAGTAAAGGGTGTCGTTCGCTAACAGACGTGACGTCCCTGCTGGTGTGGTGCGTGTCGTGCCTGGTGTGGCAGCACACGGCGTGCGGCGCGGGCGCGCGCTGCCTGGCGTGCGGCGGCGCGCTGCCCGAGCCCGCGCCGGCGCCCACGCTGCACGAGCCCGACTCCGACCCCGACATCACCCCCAGCGCGCGCCTCTTCAGAGGTAAATATTATCATACTCTTAAATAACAAATTTATCGACACATAGTGGTAAACTTGGCGTTTCTCATTCTTTTTACGCTGCCTGCACAGTTGACACTCGCCGTAGAAGACCGAACACCACCTAATTCCCCTAAAGGCATCTTCGTCAGTACTCGAGTCTATGTTTTGAATTCTAATGAACTTGTGACGATGTTCCTTTATTACTTCTAGTACTTAGGTGAGTTAAATTCAGCACAGCGTCGTGTCGGATACCATAATTTTCTTTTTTGATGTTATCGAATGCATTCACGATTAGTTACCGATTTCACTGTAGAAATATATAATCAAAGTCATTCCTATATAAGAATATGTTATTACCTGTATAAGAATATGTATAGCATATTTATTAAGGAACTTCTTTGAATGTGGAAGCATTTACTTCGAAACTGTTAATCTACATTTATTTAATTTGGTTCTTGGGTATAAATTCTTTATGTACGTTTTATTAATTTAATTTTATTTTATTTTAAAACAAAATAAAATTAATGATTACCCATTTTTTAGAAAACGAGTAAGGTTTGTGAAGGCCTCCTTAAGTGAGTACAATGTGACAAAGCTTTGCAGTACGTTGCAATTTTAACGTGACTGTAACTTGACGATATTGTGTCTCCTGTTATGCTATGTGATATATAATAAAGGAATGGTGTTATCGTTATGTAGATATTTACTCATTTACAGATAAGTTAGCTGAGCAAAAAAGTTTACAGGAGAAAAACATTAAGTTATGTATTGAGCTACGCAAACTGGAAGCGAGAGCGGCGAACCTTAAAGAAAATTTAGATGAACACAATGCGGAGAAACGACAGCTCCTGGCCGATCAGATCAAGACACAGCGAAACCTCCAGAAACTTCTAGACTTTATCAGCCATTTTAAAGAGACATCAATCAGCATTCGTTCAACATCTGTTAGTGAGTCTGGGAGTGAAATTAGCAAAAGTTATGAGGAATGATTCTGGTGAGTTTTATTTCCTATCCTTCTTAATACAACCCAATAACCAAAAGGTCCGTCATTCCACAGGATTCCTTCAGATAACAGCAAAAATTTTAACACAGGGGGCTACGTGACCACCATAATAACTGAACCAGAAATTATAGAGAGAATCATGAAGATCATTAGTTTAAATATTGTATATAAAAAGTAAAGGCTTTATATTGAAATATAAAGGTTATGAGGAATGTAATAAGATTGGTTAGTTAGTTTGCAAAGTAAGAAAACATAGTAAGATTGGTTACAAATGTACAGTATCCCAATATCTACAACTATATTTCCTTCCTAAAAAGTTAAGTTTAATTGTACGTAGTTATGTTTTTGCTGCAAAAATCGAAATTATTATATCATCGAAATTAATTAAATTTAGGTTTAAACTTACTAATGAAGAAATGAAAGATGAAATTCCAAAATTTAAGTAGAAAAACTGTAATTTATAAGTGAAACAATGCTAGCAAGCATTGTTATACTTATAAATTACAGTTTTTAATTACTGCTATTTTAAAATGACATGGGAAAAACATTTTCTAATGGGTTTATTACCTTGTTTCAGGTAGGCGATTTCATTTGTGTTACTTCCGTGCTAAAGAAAAGTCATGAACAGCGCAAACTGTTTTATTGAATTGTGAATAGAAGATACACGTACTTTAACTGTTAGTTCCATTAGCTCAAACTTAAGTTTAGTCAATGTTTTTAAACTGCTCAATCTGAAATTCTAGAGCAGTTTTGAGATTTATTTTAATAAATTGCACATTTAGGTCGAAATTTAGTTACTGTATGTTATTAGTTTGGGCGATTAAATCAATTAAATGTTAAAAAAATATATTTTTACTGATGTCTATGAAAACAATTTGTGATTTGTATTGATCAGAAAATGAATCGAGTCTATCAAATGAAATCCAATGATTTGCCAAAAGTAAAGTGTTCAGTATTTAATACCTTATTTAAGGTAGATGTAGAATATTTCGTTAATATTAAAAATGAATTGTTTTATGTTACGAGGTTGTGTTACAGAGAAATTGATTGTCCGTCCTTTTCTAACACCGACAAAATTTAAACGTAGAAAAGGAAAACGGCGTTAGCATTAATCGAGCAATGTTTTAATGTAAGAAAGGACGCTGTCCATAACTTTAACGAATCTTAATTATTCTCTGTGATATAAGCAATTATTTTTTCTTGTTAAATGAATGGTACATGTGTGGTGCCTCCTTTATGAAAACAATGATTGTAAAAATCTAATGTAAATAAATATTCTTAAATTGGTAAATATTTTATTTCTTAGTTAACCTTTTCGCAATTTAATTATAGATACAAATTTCAATAATTGAGAAGGGTATTAAGTTGCTTGCAAAAAAATTTACGATTTGACAACAATACAAATTATTTTGCTATGCATATTCCAATATTTTCTTTCCTTGCAGGACGTCCTTACGCAATTCTTCTATACTATTCTCTAGAAGCTGACATTCAAAATTAGATAGTTTAGAGTACCTCTGCATTTCTTTAACACCGTCCCGGTTTATATGAACCAGCCCCGAGAAATAATCAGTACCAAAGTCGTTATTGTCAACAAACGCATGAACTACTTCGTCATTGCCATCTAAAGCGTTCAGTACGCTGCGAGTAAATAGAACTGCGCTGTGCGCGACGGATAGTACTGGTGCTAAACCGTTTTTCGCCTTCATTATATCGTGATCAGCCTTTCGAAGTTTCATAGTGAACGTCTGTGCTTCTCTCTCATTCATATCTTTAGCCGGAAGGGCCTGAGATAGTAATGGAATGCACGTCTTGTATGAACGGCCCCCTATGACAGGCACGGATACGTCAGAAGGATGGAGCTTATGAATCGACGCGTACAGTATTTGTGCGCGCAAAAAATCTATAGTACTTATGCCAAATAGTTTTCTCACATCCAATTCTCCGTAATTTCTCACTATCTCGGCGGTCATTGGTATGAGACTATTGATAGGCTCCGTGACGATTCCTATGAAAGGCATTGGTTCAAGGCGAGCTATTGCTTTAGCTAAAGATTTTATAAACACTGTGTTGGTTGTAAAACATGAATTTTCGGTAATGCTCGGGGTGCGTGTGACTCCAGCAGCACAAATAATTAATTCAGAATTCATTAAAGCCGGCTCCAAATACTCTTCACCTACGTAACCCTTCACTTCAGCATTTGTAGGCACATGCGACAAATCTAGTGTTACGCCCGGTGTTTCTTTTAGTGTGTCGTGAATGACTAATTTAGTAATATTAGGTTGTGAACGTAGCATCAGGCTAATCGTTTGTCCAACATCTGTTGCACCTCCAAGCACTGTAACCTGATGACTCCTGATACTCGCATATAATATATTGAAAATTTTCTTTCTTATTAAAATTTTGCCAAACATTGTGTAGTAGTTTTGTATTGTAGTCGGTAATTTTACATTATTTTTTAAATTTTAGTCCTAAATGAATTGATTAGAGACACCATAAACCCAGTAATTTTATTCTGTCTAATGATTACTACATAACGTCAATGCTCTAAGGAGTATGAAACGTTGGTATAATTATAATCTTAATTATTGTTCTACGTCTATGGTACATTATATTTTTATCTTTACATAGTATAAAATAGTAACTTTTTTGTGTTGTACGCTTAAATCTTTTAAGCTAAGCAACGGATCTGAATACGGTGTTCACCAATAGAGAGAGTGACTCAAGAGGAAGGTTTATATGCATAATACATGCATAATATGGTAGAGGAAATCGTGAATTTCGAAGATTTGTCGTAAAAAACCTGTTTTTCTGCGCATACATTACAAACGCCTAAATAATGTACTACGAAATTGTATATCTTAAAAAGATCTACAAAAAAGTCGTTGATGGTATCTTAAGGATAACCCACAGTAACCATTTTTATCTTTTAAATATTACAAAAAAATAATGGGTTTTTTAGGAAGCTATTTTAAATATTGCACAAGATGCGCACAGAATGGGGATAATTAACGAAAACATTACAGAGGTCAGCTCGACAAATTCTGGCTATTGTAAAATATGCTTGTAAATAAGACAATCTGAATACAGTATTATTTATATATCGACTCTAGAGAGGTGTCCAGGTTACAGTATATTATATTCAAGTCACCATGTTAGGTATACATATATGTTTTATTTTCAGTACAAAGGTTTTATCCATTTTTTCTTTTTGCTGCAGACAGTATTTGACAGAATGACGTAAATTAGAAAGTAAATACGTTCAGCAAAATGTAAGAGAAAAATTTAAATAAACATTACAAATACCACAGTAAGTGAAATGCCGGCACAGTTTTATTTTTAGATTTAGTATGAATAACAATAAATAAACTTAATATACATAAAGTCTGAAATACACCAAGAATATTTAATAAAGATGTTTTATCGTAAGTTATCAGCTTCATATTTATTTGCCAAACAACTGACGGCATGTGTGAGTGCAAAATATTCCCCACTGCGAAAAATTAACGTGTCTGTTATTGGCGCTGCTAATCAAGTAGGATCAAATTTGGCATTTCTTCTTAAGCAAAACAGTCAAATAACGAAACTAGATTTACACGATGATGATGCGAAAGTTTATGGAATTGGATTAGAACTCAATGACTTACCTGGGGGGCCGCAAATAAATGTATGGAGTGGAGACAATACATTAGATAACGCTGTTCGTGACTCGCACCTGGTTATGATGGTTTACAGGGTGCCTCGTAGACCAGGTAATACTAGAGAGCAAATGATCGCTGCCAATGCACCAGCTGTGAAGAAACTGTGCCGTTCTATTGCATTTCAAAACCCCGGAGCATTCTTGGCCATCGCTACTAATCCACTAAATGCTATTGTGCCCTTTGCAAGCGCTCTTCTGTACAAATATAACGCTTATAATCCTTTTAAAATATTGGGCATAACTCATTTAGATTCGGTTAGAGCACGAACAACTACTGCAAAGGCTCTTGGTATCAATCCGCTGGATGTATCTTTGCCTGTTATAGGAGGGCACTCAGACCAGACAATTATACCCCTATTTTCCAATATGGTGCCCAATACAAATGCTATAGATCCTTATCAAGCAGAGACTTTGACACGTATTATAAGGAAAGCTGGGACAGAAATCGTATTCCAAAAATATGGCAAAGAAAGTGCCACTTTAAGCATGGCGGCGGCACTTAACGATTTTATTAATCAAATGAAAATCGCACTTTCAGGAGATGAAGTCGTCGTTAATGCTTATACTGCAAATCCAAACTTTGGAACAAGGTTTTTTTCAGGTCCCACCAAAGTTGGTCCCTGTGGAATTGTACAAACGTGTCATAGTTTTCAACTCAGTGATTACGAATCGTTCCTGCTTAATTCAGCTATACCACTGTTAAATCGTGACGTGAGCATGGGAGAGGATTATGTAAGATATATAGATTTTGCAAGAAAAAGCTGAACTATCCCTCATAACAAAAGGTTACGAAAGAAAAACAAATATAAAAATCGTACTATTTTAATTGGTCAGTGTTTTAATTAATTTACTACTAACACAATAAAATATTTGCTACCAACTACCGAAATACTTGTCATCATCAACAGCCTTTAATAGTCCACTGCTGGATATAGGCCTCTAGTTAGAAGGAAGGTTTTGGCTTACTATACCACGCTGGCCAGACGGGTTGGTATAGGGTTTGTGTCAAGTTTTCCTTGCCCCTTGTCCTGCGTTGTTTTGCGCCCTTAGTCGGCTCTTACGACACCCACGGGATGAATTGGGGTAGTGACATTCCGTATTCTTAATCCGTCACTACACGGACATAGCAACATTCCGGGAGTTATAATAAATATATATATATCTTTTTTTTCTATATAAAAGACAACTCGTGGATTAGGAATTATATCCTGTGCCGCGGGGTATTTTACAAACATTTATGAAACGGACACCCAGACTTGCACAACAATTTGGGGATCACACAATGTTGTTGACGCGAGGTGACGTTACAACTAATCTAAGTACGCCATTCGTGTAGGGTGCATTGTAACTACTAAGCAATCGACCGGATGACGTAATGGTTTGTGTAACGGACGCTAATCTAAACGCCACGGGTTCGATTCCCGCTCAATGTTGTACAAACACTTCATTGTAGTCGCCGAAAAAGCGGGAAATGATGACAGTCTAAGACGTCTAATTTTTTCTTTGCTTTTATGGCTGTAAATGGCTTTTATGTGCTCGATTTTCAAATAAATTTGTCTTTTAATAATACATGACACAGATGCGTTCCATTTTCAAATTTCGAGCATCTTTAGTATAGTGACCTATGTACCATAGCTGCACTTCGCAGCAAATTGACGAGATAGTGATTGCGATGTTAGGATGAATGAACGCAACAAAAGTTAAGCGGTTTTTCCGTCTTTCAATTATTGGTGTTTGAGAACTGTTACTATTTTATTTTACTATTTCCTCTATTTTTTTAATATTTAGTGCCAAGTAATTTTTGCTTAAGAAATTGAGGGAATCAACTTGTGACAGAACTGTATTTCAATTTAAATACATACATACATACCATCCAGTATTTTGCCTACATATATAATGGTCATAACAGCATGCATGGTCTACGGACCCCCGATCGGAACGAAGTTCGTTTCGCTTTTTAGTAGATGTTTGCTATACAATCATTATAATTTACATTATAAAATATCAAGTTAAAACAGTAAATTGTAATATATTTTTAGCCATGTATAAAATAAATTAAACACTGAATGATCTGGGATAATTAAGTAATCATGAAAATTCGGTGAATTAGTGATGATGCGTTTGGTATCCGGAGAAAGAAACACCGTAACAAACACTAGGTAATCAATCGCAGCTCTGTTGGTATTTTTGCTCTTACACCCAAGTTGAAATAAGGTACTGAATGAGTTGTACAAGAAGAATGTCTATTTCACTATGAAATTAAATAAAATTCAAATAAATCAAATAAAAATAAATAAAATCAAATAAAATCAATTAAATAAAAATACCTCTGTAACTCTATATATTTTACAAAAATTGTCGTAGGTTAATAATTATCTTACAATTGACTGGGTGATGTTATTTGATCTAAGTGCAGACCTCAGCAGGCTAGACTGCCGTCTCAATATCTGCATTCGATTAACGTTTAATATTTACAAGTGTGTAACTATGTGTTCGACTTAGCTTCCTGACTAAAATGCCTTGCTATTCGCTAATGTCGCAATTTGCGAGCACTTACCTGTTCTTTTTGTTCTCATCAACTCCACCATCTCACTTAACTTTGTATTTCCGATACTTGTGCTCTACTCAAGACAGGAATTTTACACAATACAAACACAATTTTTAAGGAAAAATAATCATTTATTCACAAAGTTTAGCGACATGCATAAAATAAACACTAGAAATAAAGATAAACTCGTGTTACCAACCACTAGACTACAAAAAGTAAGCAAGTCTTTTCGTTGTCAGGATGTGCGATTTTACAATAAAGTGCCAAGCAAATTCCATGAATTAAGTATTAATAAATTTAAGTCTTAAGTAAACCTAAAACTATGTGAAAAGGGTTACTACACTATTACAGATTATTTAGACGACAAATTTGCTTGGGATTGATGCTGCTCACTCCCACATTTACGTAGACATCTTTGTTGTTAAGTTTGAAAGTGATGGACATTTAATTATTATTTTTTTGGTGTATTTCGTATTTTGTATTTTATTTTTCGTTGACTTTGAACTGTATAGTATTTTTTTTATTTTTTGTGTAAGTATGTAAATGTGAGTACAGTGTAGGCTTGTAATGTTAATTCATATTTTATTATCTTTCTGGTGGTTTTGAGTGTTTCCACGGCCTACCCAAATGTCCTGCTGGCGGTAGTGTCATGCTTCGGGTCGTTGATCTTGACCAATATCGGTTAGGCTACACGATGGCTGGAGCCTGTATGCCGTTTGTATGGACAGGTTGACTCAAAACTATGGTCCTTTCCTCAAAAGGCCTATCCAGACCCTATATTGTACTCGCACAGTTTTATTTAACTTTGTTTACGGACTTAAAAAAAAAAGACACCTCTGTGGTTTGTTTCGGCGTTTCTTCCCAGAGTGAGTCTTAGGAAACCTTCCGGCTCCTTCTAGCTATAAAGTCCGACTTGTAAAAATATCTGAAAAGATTTACTTACAGAAATAAATATCATTTCATTTCATTTCATTTCATTACATTATATGTTAATACCCTGAATGCATTACCTTATAGCATTTCTACATCACCCCAGGGCCTCAATTCTGCTATTTTATGTTGACGCCAAGCCACTGTTATACCACTGACACGCTATTGAAATGCCATCGAGTGGCCATTGGCATCGGTATAAATATCGGTAGTCTACACTAACTAAACAACAACAAGAACAGCAACGATAATTCAACAACAAGAACTAACTAAACAACAACAAGAACAGCAACATTAATTTCCTTATGTGTATTAATTCTTAACAAAATAATAAACTCACATGTAAAACCTGTAAATCTAACTACTGTGGGGTGGGGTCCTGGTGATCCGTAATTCAGGATCAACCTACTTCGGACACCAGCTCCTCACATATTTTAGACTGCTAATAAATGTCCTAAGTATTATTCACTATTTCCTGTATAATAAGTCTTTATTGTGAGGAGAAATAAACGTTATTATTATTATTATCATTTCGATTTCTTAGCCGATATTTTTTAGTTTATTCTCTATCTATCTCGCTCTCTCTTTTATTTCTGTCTGTTCTATCTGTCGTAGATAAAGTAAAAACATAAACGTCAAAGAACTCATATATAAATAATAAATAAATAAATAATATATTAAACAACTTATTAATTAATTACATAATTATTTATAGTAATTAATTATGTAATTGTATAGGTACATGTACATATTTTTTTTCTGCTTTCGTTGCAGATTGTAAGGTTACCTACTAAGAAAAGTATTGAAATAGTTCTCACTAGAAATGTTAGTAATAGCACTAAAGTGGTTATAATCGAAGTACAGGCAACCAGTAGAGCAATTATCAACGCAATCATAGCAACAAATGGCTTTACGACAGTCGTAATGTAAACCAAAACGCTAATTCGGTCCACACACAATCTGAAACAGTGCATTGACAATAAATGGTCCTCACTGAGCTGTAATCACCGTCCGCCGACCCTTAACCCACACTGAAGTTAACACCGCCAGCCACGGGGGTCGTCAAGACCGAAAGACATTAAACTCAATGTAACGCCGCGGCGGGCTCGTATGGCCGCTCAGCGATTATCTTAAAGTTAACCCTGTCGTTACGATCCTTATTTGCGGTGGTAACGTTGAGAACGTTCCCCGCCTGTTAAGTTAAGATCACATGAAATTATATTGGGAAGTAAATTCAACTTTCGAACACATCTGGCGAGCGCACGTTTTTAATGAGCCTTGTTTCACACCCGCTTTTTGTTCCAATACTTTAATGTAGATTTAATCTGTTTCTTGACTTTTATTCCCCATTCTCAAGCTGCCGGACTAGATTATACATGTTACATTACGGCTACTTGTAAAACTTTACCTAGTTAGTACCGACTAATGCATGTATCGTTGTTCTATCTCAGATGTTCTCTATATTATTTGTTAATTATTATTGAAAGAACTATGATCATAAACTCAATATAAACCTACTGACCGACATTGAACACGTAATTTTGAATATTTGTATTTACAAACCAAAGGTTAAAACGTTTACAATTTTTCCAAGATACAATGAAAAATATGGAGGAGAGAACTACGTGCAGTGTGGACGCAGTTCAACTCAAATTCAGTAGTATGAGGCGCTAGTCTCCGTAGTAGTTACAATGTTCTTCGAATGAGATGCGACTCGGATGGCCGCTTTGAGTCGCCACCAAGCCATTTATCCGATATTGGACTGTTACAAACGAACGATGCACACGTCAGCTTCGATTACATTCCTTGCTATTCCTATAGCTTTGTTTTCAATGTCTCATAAAGGTGTATTTGCAGGTAGAGTACTGAGGATATAACTGAAAGTCCCTGTAAACGACATTGAAGCTTTACCTACTCGCTTTGATACTGTGTGCACTGTTTGTAATACTACATGTTTAGTAAAACTTCGTCCGGAAATTAAACACTAGTTCAATATTTTAAGTAGAGGTATGTAACGTTTATTATTATAGGTACACTAGTATAATTTTGCCAAATATTTACAAAGAAAAGTGCTATGAAATATCGACAAAGAATATGATTTCCAAGATTGCGCGTTCTTTTTAAACTTTAATATCTTCTTCTTAATAAAATCCACACGTCCACAGTAATAGATACAACTACTGCAAAGATAGAATTGGAGGTCGGGCCCCTTGGGTGACATTTTTAAGAAGGTTACTGGAATAATATGAAGAATTTCTGTTCCATGTAGTTTTATTCTTATCGCTCC